TGGAGGGAATGTCTTTTTTTTCTGGTTTATATGGGATAGCTCTTATCAAATTCTTCAAGCCAGCTTTGTTCGAGTTGAAAAGGTTGGTGCGAGTGCGGTGTAGATAAATGAGTGACCTAGTTTTACGAGGCAATCTGGACAAGATGAGATTGTGCTAGTAGTTGATAGTTTATCACTTTTGCACACCACTTTGTGTATTGTAAATGATCTATTGGTAAAACTTTATACAACGATTATGTTTTATTATGCACACATTCTTTTCTATGGGAAATTATCTATTGATGAAATTTGATCCAGGTATAAAATATTAAGCTGATAAAAAACAATGACAAACTTTTCAAAATGCTAAATCTTACACACTAATACTGAAAATATTTCGTACATTGCATCTCGTATATTAAACGCACCGGGAGACGAATCCTCCATCTACTATGAGGTCAAAAGATTCATATCATGCTTTGTGTTTCCAAATAATGCTATTTTACAACTGATTATCTTCTGTATACTAACACAAAATTACATGTATAGTTACAACTTACAAGCAATAGGCCCTAATTATACCGACTTAAATCTTTAGCCTAATCAAGTATAGAAAACATAGCAAGTACCGTAAATTGACCATGATGCCCCTCTATGGATCTAGCTTCCAAATGCCTCCAGAGCACCAAGGTTCAGTGATCTTCACGATCCTCTGCTTAGGTTTCTTGCGCTGCACTCTACTGTTTCATTCCTTTTGTAAGACTGCCCTGTTTTTGTGAGGTCGACTTTAACTATGTGGTGATCAGAGGTGCCCTTGGATGAGATCACTGAATACGATCCTGGAACGAACTCGAACGCTGAGTCTGGTGACGCTAGAACGTAGTCCACTCTCGTACCATACTTGCACGTCCCTTGAACATCTAGAGATGGAATCAACGATCAATACGATTGTTCGAAATTACAGTGCAAAAACATCCAGTTTGATTCTACGCAAAGTATATTGCTTACTTTGGCCTTTGGCGATGATCACCACGGGCTCACATTCCCCTGCATTTTCCTTTGCATCTTTGTAGCCTTTACCCTTCATGAACTCCATCACTTTCGTCCTAGGCGTCGGCTTCCCTATGTCCTCATAGTACTGCAAAACCAGATTGAGCTTATCAGTAGTTCAGTACATGGAAATAGTACCACAAGATAGCCATGGAGAAAGAAGGTTTGAAATTTTTACCCTGACAATGTCCATCCATCTCTCGGACGAGTAATCCGAACCATCCAGAGCGTTCAAACCTCCAGCCAGTACGTGGGGGGGAGTCGTTGGATTGCATGATCGCGTTGATCTGCTTCATTCGCCAGTTCTCGTTGAGATGGTCGAGCTGCGTGCAGTAGACATCGACTTCTCCTGCCCACGGCACCTCAATCGTGGCCTTCAACACATTCCTATAAAAATCGTCACAATCAAACCACCACTTCAAAAGACTAATCAAGCAATTTTTTTCTGCATAGAAAAAGGATTTGAGATCTTGGCAAAAACCAACCTGTGATCTTGATCATCAGCAACCTTCTGAACTTTCCACCTTCGAATCGGCCATTTGGAGAGGATAGCATTCCCATACTCCGGCGCCCAGCTCTCAGCAAACACATACTTCATCCCCAGTGCAGCAGCTAGATCAGACAATGGCCTCATCTCCATCTCTTCATCCGCCCTCACGTCTTGCAGCGCCCAAACATCTGCACCGACTTCTCTCATCACTTCCAGTACGCTTCTCCTTCCACTCATCAACCTGTCTTCACCACTATGCGGCTTCGCCATATAACCATAACTTGCAGGCAAAGAAACAGGTGATCTCATCACCACGCTGCTCCGGTAGTTCCTGCTGGCGATGATCCTTGACGAACCTTCCCTTTCTTCCTCCACAATGCTCAAGAACTTCTTCCCCCCACCGCCCATGTTGGCCAGAGATATCTCGTTTTCGGGGAGGTTGATCGATACTTTCAGCTTCGACGACGGGGATTTCGCGGGAGAGGATTGCTTCAGGATGCTCTTTGGATGGTGGTAGCTGAGATCCGCCTTGAACTGTTCCTCCAACATCTCCTCTTCGAATCCCAATTTCGTCGGACCATCATCTGAGCTTGGAATTGCAGGTGCAAGGTGGAACATGGCGACGTTGAAAGTGGCGACTCGAATTGGCTTCTGTGGGTTGGAAAGATTCAGTTTTCGCAACCGGAAGCTTGACGATCTCTGGGTGGTGGCGTCCCATTTGCAGCGATCTTTGGAGCTCTTCTTCTTCCCCAGCCTTCTTATGATCACTTTTGGCCTTGGGCGCTTCCACACCAGCCATTGGATCTTGGACAGCAGCAGCCTTAGAGCTCTGCTCACTGTACTCAACATGTTCTAAGCTTCTGAAAGAACTCTTCTTCTCGCTAGGATGGATTAGGGGGAAAGTTTCAGGCTTTGATCCATCTGCATCATAGTTATAAGACAAAGTTAGTTGGGTGAAGAGGAAAAATACGAGAAGGGTGGTAAGAAAGTAGTTACAGAGATCCCAAAATTTTGGCTGCAAGCTTCCACCTGCTCCCCAAAAGTGGGGTAAACCAAAAGGTTGACAAAGTGGTAAAAAGGATTGGTGGGTTCTCTTCCTTGATCATTCCTCTTATAACCCCCCAAAAAGCCTAAACCAACTACCATCAATCAAACTGCGATCCATTGCCCTTTTTTTTTAAACATAAAACATGTGAAAGAAGAAGAAGAATTGACAGATAACAGCAGCACCAGAGATATCTTTGTCTTGTTTCTGCCGGTCAATTTAAACCATGATGAATGGATGATGGTACCCTTTGCGTATTAAAACAGCTGGAAGCAATTTTGATTCATTCATGGTTTGTTTGACTACAGGAGAAGAACGTGGAAGTCTAACTGGATTTATTAATGATGATTTCTTCAAGAGAAGCAAAATGCCAACTTGAACGGAACTAAAATTATATGTGGGTATTGGTGGGAAGAGGGGGAGACCTTGTTCTTCTTCGTGCAGATCGCCGGCTGAAGCTACTGAACTGCCTTGACACAAGGGCTTGATTGAGAGTTGGCTGCTTTACCTTTAAAATAAACAAGGGCGATTGGGAGTCAAAATGATACCTCTAATACATCTTTAAAGTATAGCTTTCATACATCGTTTTTGCCCTTTCTTTATGATGCCATATGGAGCAGGGCAGTTGGCCTAACTTTGACATACAATGGGTGGATAATCAAACTCGAATGGGAACAATAATAGGCTTCAGAAACGACATTCAAGTCAAAGGTTAGGCTTACTTTGTGGAGTAAGTGTACAAGAAGAATGTTTAAGCTTTTGAAACAATAACACATAGGAAATGGGGTAGCATTTGACTTGAGCGTGTAAAACCTGGGCCATGTGGGGATTCTATCCTCATCTCAATCATCAAACAGCTTCTTCTGAAACATTAAAGTTTTTGGCTCCATCAGCTGTAAATTCTCTGAGCTGTTTAGGGTGCTAGGACTCATAGAAGGATCCTCCGATGGTGCCTGAAAACCAATCTTCTCCACAACAAGGCACTGACTTGTGGAGGTCAGAGGATAATTCAGTCCTCCTTGAAGCCTCTGCCATGCTGGAAATCCAGTGCATTCAGTAATCACTTCAGTCGTCTATAAACAAGGTATCAAGAAGGTTAGCTGCTGCTGCAGACGACGAATCTCCCTTCCCACCGTCCTCCACCTCAAAGAACCCACCGTTAGCTGCATTCTCTCTTTTGCACTTCCTCTCTTCCACGATCGCTTCTTCCGTTTCAGCACTGTATCTCACTTGCTTCTCTGGTCTCTCAGCTACAACAAACTTGTTCCCATCTCGGCTCCGCTCAGAAAATCCCGCCCAAACTGGATACATACACAGAACCCAGAGTTGTTACTGAACTTCATAGTGCGAAATTTCCAGCAATCACACAAGTTCATGATCATAGATACGACAAAGATCGAATGCTATCTAACTAACTACTAAGCCTCTTTGTATATCTAAAGCTCGAGACTTCAAATTGAGAATGTTTGTCAGTGAAAATAGTACCTCCAAAGTTGTGAAGAACGATGGAAGCAGCCACAGTAACATTCAATGAGGCAGTCCCACATCCATACTGTGGAATGTAAACAAAGAAATCGCAGATCTCACATTCTCTAGCAGAAAGTCCCGTCCCCTGCAGATTATTCCCAAGACCCAGTAATTAAAGCACAGAACTTTGACCATATTTCTTCTCAGGAAACAATTTGGATTCTGTTTTGCCTTCATACCTCATTACCCATTAGAAAAGCTGTGCTCTTCTTGAAAGGATGTTGATTTACAGGGAGAGCTCCCTCTGTTATCTCCACCCCACATATATCACAATCTTTCTCCTGCAGAAGGGGGAAACAAAAAATTGGAGATTTCAATTGAATCAACTGGAGACGGGGAAAAAGACGGAGAAAAGACGAGGAAAGTTGGGAGACCTTGAGGAATTGGCGAGCTTCGAGGAGGGAATGGAAGTGGCGGAAGCGGACGTGGGAGGTGGAGCCATGGCTGCCGAAGGAGTTGAAGTCGCGGCGGCCGACGAGTATGAGCTCCGTGACGCCGAACGCCGTCGCGCTCCGGGCCAGAGTCCCGACGTTGTGCCTCTTGGCTATGTTGTGCACCACCACATAGCTCTCTATCGCCATTTTGTTTATCTCTCCCTCTGCTGTTTTAGTTAGGAATTTCTTCGGTTAACCCAAAAATACAGAACGAACTAACTTCCAATCAAGTGAGGATGGCGGCCGCCGGAGGTTTTCCCTCTTCTTCGTCACTAATCCTATTAGGGTTTTGATTGCGGAATGCAGAAAGACTGAAGCGACGACGTACAGCCCTACTACTACTACTACTACTACTAGGAACAATAATTACAAAATGGTGACTAAACATTGGAGTCATATCAAATTTGCCATCGAGATTTCAATTCTATCGATTTTTGAGCATAATATAATCCGCGAAATTTCTGGTGTGTGAAGAGAAGCCGCCGTTTCACACTCTAAATCGGGGGAACAACCTGCACTGAGCGAATCCTCTACTACACCGGCCGGATTCACGAGATACACGAGGTTCATGGTCTCGACATTGTCGGAGCTAAGATGGACTCAATGGACTTGGAATGGCGACCAGGTTAGTGGGGAAGATTCAGTTTTTCCCCGCCATTTTTTCAATTGATTGATTGGAAGATGCAAGATAAGAAGTCTCGTTGACGGATTTAGTGATTGAAAATGGGATAGGTCAATATAATCGATACACCAGGAGGCCACGTTGACTTCACTATCGAGGTGGAGAGAGCTTTTAGTGTGCTGGATGGTGCCATTCTTGTGTTTGTGTAGTGTTGGAGGAGTGCAAAGTGAGTCAGTAAACTGTTGATAGGCAAATGTGGAGATACGAGGTGCCTCGTGTTGCGTTTATTAGCAAAGCTTGATCGTATGGGAGCAGATCCCTGCAAGGTTGTGAGGCAGGTATCTTCAAATTTGTAGCTTTCATTGATTTATGGCAAGTGGAAGTGTTAGCCATTGATGATCAATGACTATTCAGGAAGAAAGCCGAATGTTTCTTGTTGTTGTCGGTCATAAGTGCTGGTAAGAATCGCTGTAGAATGTGTTCCTTTCCTGTAATATTCTGCAGTACATTGAAGAAGCACATGCTGGGCAAGTAGTCGTTGCTGTGTTTGGGATGGATTGATTGTGCCTCAGGTAAGGTAATATTCTGCCTTTTCAACGTTGTATCCGGATTCCTTGTAGTCATATCACAATATGGAGATTCTGATAGTGTTGGCTATGAAATGCCTTTCTAATATGGACTCTATTCGAGAAGCGCGTGAACTTCACGATGGAGTGCTTGCAGGACTGATGTGAGGAAGGTGTCTGCAAGTATATCTGACATCCGCATTACTTTTTTTTTTTTTGCTGATAATGTTGTTGATTAAATGATGCACAGGGGAGAGGTGAGTTCACGATGGAGTACAAAGAACATTTGTCTGTTTCGCGATGTCCAGGTGTAACTGTTAAACGCTTACAAAGCTAGCAGGGCGACTGAATAGAATAACTAGACACAGCAGCAAGCCAGCAACACTGTAAGTCATGTCTCAAACTCAAAGCCCACTGTATTCGTTATATACGATGAAGTTTGATCCTAGATAGGGATAGATTCTTCATCTCATTTTTGTGATCTTCATATATGGAGGCATAGTATGTGACCAAATCAATTTTGGGAACAATGAGATAAGCTTTCATTATTCGGTCTTGATTAACGTGTGTATAATGTAAATGTTGGATGGACTTAATTTTAACGAATAATGCACGACTAACAGGAACTCTTGTTGGGTGCCTATGCAAATGCAATGAACTGAGACGGTGCCATTGAAGGGCTAGAAATGGCTTGCCGTCTGTGGCATAGAAAGGTGTAATGACAGCTCGACTCTTCTGCTGAAGTGGCCATCCTTCAGAGCTCGGAGAACTTGGAGTATCTCTTAATAGATTCTGCGAAACATCCATGCATTTCACACTCAACCTAGTATTATGACCAAAAGTAAGCTTACTGAGACAAACTTCATACATTTTTACGTGTTATTTCCATCTTGTATAATGTATACGCAGAATAATCTGCCCAAAAAAAACCCCGGAAGGAAGTAAAGCAGCAGTTATTCACGATCACAGAGTTCAGCACCTTCTCCCTGGGGCTTACAATTCCCCACCTATCAGGAATTGGATAAAAGTAGAGCAGAGTATTATTATTCTACTTAAACCCTCCTTTGCTTGTTCCGCAAGTAAGTACTGAGGTCTGGAGAATCAATTAATTATATACATAATCCACCCAATTAGCCATGAATGAATGACAAACTTCACCAGCTGCTTCTTTCTGTGAGTTCTTTCCTTCCATTCCTACCAACTTCAAACTGCAACTTGAGCTGCTGCTAGCCTAGCAATTGGAACCCTAAAAGGTGAACAGGAAACATAATCCAGTCCAGCTTCTGCAAAGAACGCTACGGATGATGGCTCCCCTCCATGCTCTCCACATATCCCCACCTGTTTCAATCAATCAAACATTCACTGTTATGGTCTCAGTTCGTCGAAAAGATAAGCCTTAAATTCGCGATGTGGAAGAAATCCAACTTCACCTTCAAGCTAGGCCTGGCTGACCGGCCCTTTTCGGTGGCCATCTTAATGAGTTGGCCAACTCCTTTCTGGTCAAGAACCTGAGGGGGGGAAAAGAAAAACAGCAAGGATGAATGAACAAATTGGCAAACAGCTTTGCCATGTAGACAGACATGTAGTAGATTCTAGTTCTGTTGCAGCTGAACTTGATGATTACCTCAAATGGATCGCTCTGGAGAATGCCCTGGGCCAAGTATGTGGGGAGGAACTTGCCCACATCATCTCTGCTATACCCGAATGTCATCTGGGTCAAGTCGTTGGTTCCGAACGAGAAGAACTCAGCTTGCTTTGCTATCTGTCATTTCATTAGCCATCCCAGTAGATTGTAAATTTTCCAGCAACTTCTACTTGAAATTTACAGCGAGAATGAACGAACGAACGAACCTCGTCGGCAACTAGAGCTGCTCTGGGGATCTCGATCATGGTCCCGACTTTGTATGTCAATGTGAGACCTGTCTCGGAGAACACCTTCTTCGCTACTTCTCGTATCACACCAATCTGATGCCCCAACTCCTGCAGGTAAGAAGAATAAGAAGAAGAAAAACAACCAAGCTTTCATTCGTTAATGTCGAATTGTGGGAAGTAAATGAAAGAGGACTGCAGTTTTGTAGTAGAGTTGGATTATTTACCTGTGGAGTTCCAACAAGGGGAACCATGATCTCAGGGAAAACCTTGATGCCCTGATGGGTCATCGAAACCGCGGCCTGGAACACAGCTCGTGCCTGCATCTCGGTTAGCTCAGGGTACGAGATTCCCAGCCTGCAACCTCGGAATCCAAGCATCGGATTCACCTCCGACAGCTTCTCAATTCGGGCAAAGACTTCGTCTTCCGTCATTCCCGTGTCAGCCGTCAGCTCTCCGATGATCTGATCCAAGTCGCCCTCGGGAAGAAACTCGTGCAGCGGAGGGTCCAGCAGCCTTATCGTCACTGGAAGACCATCCATGGCGCGGAAAATGCCCTCGAAGTCTGACCTCTGGTAAGGCAACAACAGGTCCAATGCTGCTTTCCTTTGCTCTTGTGTCTCCGCCATTATCATCTTCCTCACTGCCTTGATCCTTTCATCGGAAGCAAAGAACTGCGGGAAAAGAAGAAGAAAGAGAGAAAGAGAGATTCTCAGTCAGGCATTTTATCAAACACATGGTGAGCGATAACAAGATCACGATGAATTTCTTACCATGTGCTCTGTCCTGCAGAGTCCAATCCCTTGAGCGCCATTGTTTCTAGCGGTGAGAGCATCTTCCGGAGTATCAGCATTCGCCATGACCTTAATCCTTCGAATCTCATCAGCCCAAGCCATGAACGTCTCCAGATCGCCGCTCAAAGCAGGAGGAGCTAGCGGCTGCTTTCCTAATACAACTTCTCCGGTCGATCCATTCAGCGAAATCCACTCCCCTTCTTTGACCAACTTATCCCCAATCACCACAATTTTCTCAGCATCGTTGACGCGGATATCGGCGCAGCCGGAGACGCAGCATTTCCCCCATCCTCGAGCCACGACGGCGGCGTGCGACGTCATACCGCCTCTCGCCGTCAGGATCCCGGCCGCGGCGTGCATCCCTCCGACGTCCTCCGGGCTCGTCTCGGTTCTCACCAGAATCGCGCTCTTTCCTTGCGCGTGCCATGCCTCTGCATCTTCTGCAGAGAACACGACTTGCCCGACGGCTGCACCCGGCGAAGCGGGCAGGCCGATTGCCATCACTTTGTCCTTGTAGTTGGCCGGAGACTCAAACTGCGAGAAAAAGAATCGTCATTTCTTTCCGGTGAACGGAGAATGCTTTGAATCAGGTGTTCCAAATCGTGACGATGTTGTTACCTGTGGATGTAGAAGTTGATCGAGGTGCTGCGGTTCGACTCTGGTGACCGCGATACGAGTATCGATTAGCCCTTCGTTCACCATATCGACGGCGATCTTCACCGCGCCTTTTCCGGTACGCTTTCCCGATCGACACTGCAGCATCCATAGCCTGTTTTCTTGGACTGTGAACTCAATGTCCTGCAAAAAATTAGACCACATTAGCATTCAACAATTTCTCCCCTGTTTTGAGGAAGAAAACAGAGTTTTAGAGAAATTTGGTACCATCATGTCCTTATAATGCCGCTCGAGGATCTCACAATTCTCGACGAGCTCCTTGTAAGCCTCCGGCATGCAATTCTTCATCGCCTCGATATCCTCCGGAGTTCGAATCCCTGCGACGACATCTTCGCCCTGAGCATTGATCAAGAACTCGCCGTAGAGCTTCTTCTCGCCGGTGCTAGGGTTTCTAGTGAACAGAACCCCTGTTCCTGATGTGTTCCCCATGTTGCCAAACACCATGCACTGAACATTCACCGCGGTTCCTTTCAATCCGGTGATCTGATTGATGCTCCTGTACTTATTGGCTCGCGGGCTGTCCCACGAATCGAAGACGGCTTGTACCGCGAGCTGCAGCTGCTGCTTCGGATCGGAAGGGAATTCGTCGCCGGTCGCTGAAATGTAGACCTGTTTGTACTGCTCGACGAGTTCCTTGAGATCGGAGGCCGAGAGGTCGGTGTCGAGCCTCGCCCCCTTCGCTTCCTTCATCGATTCGAGCTTCTCGTCGAAGAAGGAGTGCGGAATCCCCATCACCACGTTCCCGAACATGTCGAGGAATCGGCGGTAGGAGTCGTAGGCGAAACGCTCGCCGCTCTTGGCGCTCAAGCTCGCCGCGACCTCGTCGTTGAGGCCGAGGTTGAGGACGGTGTCCATCATTCCAGGCATTGAGATCTAGCAAGACACAAAATTATTTAAAAAGCAGGGGAACTTGGAAATTGGGAAACAGAGCATCACATGAAAGCTTACGGCGGCTCCTGAGCGAACGGAGAGGAGAAGGGGCTTGGAAGGATCGCCGAGGGAAGCTCCCATGTCGTTCTCCACTATGGTCAGACCTTCCAGTACTTCTCCCCACAGACCGTTTGAGAGACTTTTGCCGTTTTCCTGGTATTCTTGGCAAGCTTCTGTTGAGATTGTGAGTCCCGGTGGGACTGAGAGCCCGATCGTCGCCATTTCGGCCAAGTTCGCTCCTTTCCCTCCGAGCTGCGTAGTATTAATCGTTGAGACAACAATCGAACGTGAGAAAATGATCTTTTATGATGAGAGAAACGATGCTTACCAATGATTTCATGCTCTTGTTGCCTTCACTTTTCCCTTTCCCAAACGTGAAAACCCTCTATTACAAAAGCCAGAGGAACAGATCAGAAACAGAGCAAATTAAGAAAAACAGAGCAAGCTGGGAGAATTCGATCATCTCTGGTTCTACCTTCTTAATTGTCGGCGTCTTCTCCTCCGAAATCGGGCTGCTCAGAACTCTCACTCTGGTTTCGCGCCTAACGACATCGGGCTTGCGGCGGATCACCGAGTCGCCTGCAAACGAATTGCTGCTACGATCGTCCTGCTGGCAACGAACTCCGATTCTTCTCCCGGCTTCTACCACGAAAACGAGGTCAGTTCTCTGATCGGCGTACTTCCCCTTGTAGAGCCGCCGGTTCCACGGCTGCACATCGGCCGTTCTGAGCATCACTGCCTTCATCGCCGACGACATTTGGGGAAAAGATTCAAACTTTATTCCGTTCGAACGGGGAAAAAAATCAAATCGACTCCGGCTTCCTAACAGAGGAATGAATAGTGGGGAAGATGGAAGATGCCGAAGTGATCAGAAAGATGGAAGAGAGAGAGAGTTAGAGAGAGGGATTGACGAAGTGACACGAGTGGTCACTAAGAATTGCGGTTAAAAACGGCTAAGTTCCCTCCATTCACACCTTTTAACTAATTTTTGACTTTCCCGCGGCTAATCCCAGTGGGGGGTTTTGCTACCGTCACCGGCAGTTGCACGGAATGGGGTTGGCCGTGGGTACGTGGCGCTGGTGGGTGGTTGCCACGTAAGATCGGGAGTAGGTCGGATTGGACTAGACAGAAGGAGGTTTGAATTCATGGGGCTGACGTGGAACTGGGTAGAGTTTCGGTGGCACGCAAATTAAGGAAAATGGGTTATGCGGTTGTGCCTAGGGGTGGAAATTAGGGTGTGTGTGGTTACCCGCCCCACATTTTGCGGGTACCCACACTCAGAAATTTACAATTATGCTATCCACGGGTTGTGGGTAACCACTACCCACCGTGGGTTTCTGCGGGTTGGGTGTGGTTATTCGCAAAAATTCATCTTTGTAAGTATAGAGTCCTAGTCGCCACTAACGTATTTGTTGTTCGTAACTAGACTATAGTGATATATACTTGTGTTGTTCGTGGAGATACAATTTTGTACATCGATCTTAATCAATGTGAAGATTTTTTCTTTTTGAGTTTGGTATTCAACTTTTGTGTCAGAGAGCTGTGATTTCATATTTCCCCGACTAGAGGTGAAATATGACACTTAAATATGATCTTGTATTTTTCTCACACAAAAGCAAAAACATACTGATAAAAGTTACAAAATGTGTTCACTTTTAATGAATTGATTATTCTCCACTCAATCGATTATAGTGTTTTCTAAACTAAAAAATTCTTACATAAAACTGATTAGGTGTGCCTTTTTTATTTGGTGGCTACTTTAATTTTTATCCTCACATTTTTCACATACTATTATATTATAAAATTAATTCACTAAATAAATATAATTAGTGTGGTTATTGTGGATTTTGTGGGTTAACCGCAGTGGGTAGTGGATAACCACTAACCACAAAAATTGTTATTTTACTACCCACACCCAACCCACTACCCACAACTTGTAAATATAGTTTCCTACAATAGGTGCGGGTTGGTGCGATTTGCGGATTATCCACAACCCGCAACCCAAACTTTCACTCTATGCCCCGCCATCCTTGGTAGGGGTGGGCATTGGGTGGGTCGGGTGGGTTTTGACCATAAAATGCACCCACCCGCGCTTAAACGGATTGATAATTTTTAACCCACCACCCATCCACATTTAGTCTCGGATTGGGTCGGGCGGATGGTGGATGATGCGGGTGGGTTTGTGGGTTCACCCACATCACAATGTATATAATATAAAGGAGTCAACTTGACATGATAATAGGTGAAGAAAATTATCGAGGGAAACAAGAAGTTGAAATAGGGCGAAAAATATCGAATTAGTTCTTAACTTGGATAGAAATTCTATTATGAAAGAGTTTTCTACAGATTGAGACGATTATTAGGTGCAAGGAACTAATGAAAATAATTCCACAAAGGAAAGAGCGGTGATCTAAGCACAAGAATTAGAGGGAAAAGTAAAGGGAAGAAGAGGGGATCTCTATTTGGAAGGTTGGCTTTGAGGTTCAAACTCCAGGAGCAGTCCGAGTTTATATCTAACGTCTCCACTCTCCTCTCTCTAGCGCCAACGACTTTGATCTTTTTGCTGTTGGGTTGAGCGGGTCACCCGCACACTCACCCACAACCCACCCACCACCCGACGGATGGCTCCCAGCGCAACCCGTCACCCACCCACAGACCCACGCACTTAACCAAATTCGGGTCAAATGCGGGTGGGTCGGCCCAAACCCGCGGATAATCCGCCCGCATGCCCAGCCCTAATCCTTGGAGGGAAAGGACAAGAGAGTTAATTATCGTTGAAAAAATATAAAGGAAATCGGACCGAACAGAAATTTCTTGTCCTTACATTTTTCTGATTGATTCATTTAGGGGGAAAAAACAAGTTTTGCTAATTATTCATTTCTCTAGTTGCAATGGTCAACAATCGCCCAATATTTCAGAATTTTGGGAACAAAATATCCAATATTTCTTCCTTTTACTTAAGAATTTTTATAAAAAAAATTGTGCACAAAAATTAAACAATATCCATCTTCCTTTTTTTTTTTTTTTTGCATAATGTGTTCAAATAGATCGCAACATCAATATAGTTTAAGAATTTAAATTTGAGTATAAATTTATATATTTTACTAGCCGTGAGAGAAAAAAATATTTATATAGCCATATTCATATACATTTCGAGCTGAAGCAATTTAATTACTGAAACGCGTAATAGACTGTGAATTCCGAGTTGTTAATATATTGTGGATAGTTCTGATGATTTGGAAGTGTGTCGATTCAATTTCATTTCGTCTAATAGTGAATAAACTCATTGACCAAGTATTTGAAGATAATTATTAAATATTCTTTTGGGATTTGTGTTAATTATATTCATGAATAGATTGGTATTCTTAAGGTTGTTTGTTAACGTGTAAATGATGCTAATTGGTTAAACCATCTAATCAATTAAATTTGACGAGGTATTTTAGTTTTGCTTCTAATTTGGATGTTTTCATATGTTAAACCATTCTTGAAGTTACTAATTCATACTTTCTATTCCAATTGTTTTTATAGATTTTCTAGCTAAATTCGTAATTTATATTCTTGTTATAGACGTTCTTACTTCCATATGATTCAGCCACGTGGCACAATCTTGTACACAGACCAAATGCCATTTTTGATCCACATATTTAAGCTTCTCACCTTTTTTTTTTTTTTTTTAATTTTTTCCCCTCACAGCAGCAATCATTCCCATTGGGAAAAGAAAGGAAAAGAACAGTTCAAAGTGGAACAGAGAATGAAAGGAAGGAGCAACCCAACCCCACTTCCTGTCTTGTGCCCTATTTCTCTGTTTCCTCCACAACTTTTTTAACATTTACTGCCTTCCACATAATTTTGAGGGCCAAAAAGAAAAGAATGGTCACTGTAGGAATCCGTATGGGGTGCGGATTCAAAGAACAGGGTCCTTTCAAGTTTCATCCCCGACTTCCAAGCGTTCTTCCTTCCAAGCGTTCTTCGCAACACGCAGACACACGACAAATGGGCTCTTTCGATTTATGGTATCCTAGTGTTCGTATACTTTGTATTCCTTCTTTAGCGATAATGCTAGTGGGTATCTATAATGGCGGGCGAAGAAGAGAGTTGCAATGCGATTCGGGAGAAAACGAGGTGCTAACATCGCAGTAAAGAGGAAGTGCTAACGATGACATGTATACTCGAGTTCAACACTGTAGTAGTCTCGGGTACGAATTCAGTGCCAAATGTGACTCGTGTAGAATTGGGAAATCCACTGTTGAACCAAGTATTATATCATCAAGCTTTCATATCTTTAGGCAATCAATCTGTTCTGTTCTCTTCTTTCTCTGTCTCTTTTTTGCAGACTCTTTGAAACTTGAAAGGGTGAATAGAGTAGCATCAGGATACCAGGAAGGATTATTCAAACTCAAAAACAGAGTCCCCCTCAAGCAACCATTATTCCAAAAAGTCACTCAAAACTCTATTTATAACTCTCTCTCTCATATACTCAAGCTGAACACTCATACAATCGATCAATTATAAATCATCATCATAATTATACTAAGAGCGAGGAGGAGCGTAACGTACTGCAACCCGTCGCTTGATGAAGCTCCTACAAGACGGGCAGTCCTTCATCCCTTGCTTCACATGCAGCTCGTTGCAGTTCGTGCAGACGACCTGATGAGCGCAGGGCAGGAAAACCACCGACATCTCCTCCGAGAGACACATCACACACTCCCTCTCTCGCTTCACACCTCCGTCGTCCAAGCAGTAGTCATTGAAATCTGTGATGACCACTTCTGGCAGACCGTGGTTGGAACGGTTCGTCTCCTTCCGGACGGCAGGATTGGTTTTGAAGTCCATGGGAGCTCGAGTGCCATCGATTCCCCTACGGAGGGCAGCGATCTTCGATGAGTCGGCTTTAAGTCTGAGCTGGGAGATCTCTTTCTCGAGCTTCTGTATGTCTTCTTTGTGTTTTTGCAGATTGGTTTCTGCTTTTAGTTTGATCATGTCCTCTTTGGATTTGGACGAGGACTCGATTTTCTCTCTTTCTTTTCTTATTTTGCTGGCCTGGGAAAGAAGCTCTTCCTTTGCCTTCTCTTCCTGTTTCCATCTAGCCTGTGATGTGATGTTTTATTCTTCTCAGTGAGAAAAAAGGACCAAAGAGTATGTAAGGTCCTAAGTACTGCGATATCAAGCATTTTGGTTTACTGAAACCATAAGGCCACCGGTATCTAATCAAGATCCTTTAACTGAAGATTTAGACCAACGAGGAGTAATGAGCAAAAGAAAAATGCATGAAACCTCAGGTTACAAACACTGCGGTGAAAGACAAGAGCGGTGGGGATTGGGGAGCCTTCCAAGTGCTTTTCATTACATAATCTATGTGATTTTGTACTAATGTATAACTATGTGAAAAAGTTTGTTTCCATCTATTATCTTTCATGCAAGTATGGGCAGTTTGAGGTGGCTGATAGAGCACTTCATCACATTCATTGCCACAAGTATTGGTGAAAAACAATAAAGAAAACATACCTCTTGTTGGTCCTGTTGTTGTCTGGCAGCATCGAGATCCTGCAGTAGCTGTGAGACCTTGCGCTTTTCAGACACAAGCTCCTCCAGAAGCATCCCTTTCTGTTTTTCCCATGACTGAAACTTCACCAATGTTCTCTTCTCCCTCTTCGACACTTCCTGACAGCTGGCAGCTGACTCAGCAGCACGTAGCTTCGCAACTTCCATCTCCTGCCTTAGCACAGCATTCTCCACCTCGAGCCTCCGGACGGCAGAGTTTGCTCTGTCCACCTGTCCACTGGCCTTCCCCAAGGCATTTTCCATCTCGGTTAGCTTCTTCATGGTGTTTTCTTCCAAAGTTTGTTTATCCTTCTTCAGCCGTTCGACTTCTTCTCTTTCTTGCCTCAGCAGTTTAAGTTCGGCCTTGTCCTTACCCAGCCTTCTAGCCGCCTGCATAACCTTCTGGTTTGCCCATTCTGTCCATTCTTGAAGCTGATTTTGCAGTTCTCTTACCCTAGGAAGAAGCTTCACAATCATATCATCCTTTTTGTCCCGAGGAACCCACTGTGCCATCGGCTTATTATCACATGGCTTTCCAGAAAAACTATAATTTTGTGCCTTTGTAGGGAGTGAAAGTGAAAGCTCCGTGTCTGCAGTTGATAGAGGATACGTGACACTGACCAGAGGTAATACAGGTGAAGAATTGGCCGGGGGTAATACAGGAAGGATATGGGCTTTAGGTAAAGAAGAAGTGGTACTAGGAGTCTCCAAACTGAATGATACTGAGGAAGAAGGTCCGGATTTCCCACCATCTGGAGGGCTATTATCAACAACCCCCATGGCCTTACTCAATCTTATGGAAGCATTCTTTATATTAACAGCATTGGAATCCGAGACAGACTTCAGTTTCTTGTCTAGAATCAAATTGCTCAACCCGCTCAATTTCCCACCTCTCAGTGAACCTTTAGACCCATAAGTCCGGTAGCTTTTCTCCAGATGTACAGATTTCTGCCGGAGGATGAACTCTCTCTTGCTGCTACCGGAATGAACCTTCCTACTAACTGTAAACCTTTCTTCAAGTACAGGTAACTGTGATGGTCCTGCAATGCTGAAGCATTTATCAACAGGATCAAATGCAGAAGTAGCTGATCCCTCTTTGTCTGATAACAGACCATTTAGGACAGAACCAGTATTCTTCGGTCTGATTACATGGGAAACTCCAGGAGGAATACTGGTGCTTGGAGAACAAGGAATCGATGGCACTGGCTTGCAAGGGGTTGTTCTTGTAACATTTGATTCAGAACCTTCAGGTTCGAGTTTTGAATGGGACCCATCGCCAGCAAAGCCACTCATTGGATCACCATCCATTGCACAAGCATGAGAAACATTCATGTCACAGATCAGGAGGCACCACATTGCATCCCCGGTACTGAAGAAGGGCCTAACTTCCCTCAACACACAAACTAATTCCGCCAGTATATACTTCTCCAACTGCTGTAAATCATCAAAACAGTGCTCTTTAGAAGGATCAATTTCCTCACAATTTCGGAGAAATGCTAAGGTATTATCCACTATATTTGACACGGTGTCTTTACACCCATAACAAACACTAGACCTCAAAACAGCCTTCGTAACCACTTCTTCGACATACCCAAAGGTGACGATTCTTTTTATTGCACTTTTGAATATTGCGTCCAAATTGCTCAAAACAAGCTCTTCCAATTGGGATTCCGTGAGATCACTCCAATCAGCATCATTGGATTCTTCTAGTTCCTCCCTGGGCTGGATTGGCTCAACAACCTCAGTTGAACCCAATGCAGTAGATAATCCAAGGTCAAGCTTCAATCCATCTGCATGATTTTGGTTCACACCACACAGATCACATGCACTCGCCAGACCATGAACCGGGGTAGGTTCAAACTTCTCAGCAGAGAATTCGTAAGCAGGACACTCATTTTGGGGCGGAGCGATGATCTTGTCAGCTTCGCCCAATGGAGGCTCAGCTCGGAACTTCCTCTTGTTCCGGCTCACTTTTTCTTGTACGGAATGAAAGGAAGATACTTGACTACTACTGGCCTTAGCAACCATTGATGCCATTTTTTGTTTTAAGCTGCAAAATCCAGAGAGTTAGGTGACCACCAATTATACAATCATCAACCCCCTTCAATCATCTAGTCTAGCAATTCCAAAACAAATTCAGTCACCTACAATCCAAGCATTGAATTGAATAGCAGCAAAAGCACCATATCAGATCATATACTACATGGAATACATAAATTAGAGCTGACCCAACTCATCGCCACAGTCAAAATTTCCACTTGATCATTACCCAGTGAGAGTAAGTGGATGATTAATCAAAATTCATAATCCAAATCCGAAATCGGCGATGGAAATGAGAAAATTTATAAATAGAAAGCTGATGAGCAATGCAATCAGAAACATGCCCAGTCTCCATGAACACGAGATATCCCAACATCGACTGTTTCAATTCGAACAACAATCTCAAATCAACAACCCGATTGATCGATCGACAAGGGCAAAACAAACAAAAAAAAACCAGCTCAACCCAGAAATAAGAAATGATTCCAGTGGGAGACGGCGAACACAAAAAAAAAAAGATCCAGAGAAAAAACGAGTGCGAGGATTGGAGATTCGGGCAATGAAGTTGAAACGGAGGATCGATTGGCGTACCGGTGTTCTTAAGCTAATTTGTTCGAGCTGTGAAGAATCAATCAGATGTTCACGAGACCAATCTGCGGAGCATCGGAAAGAACAGACGAGAAATCAGAGGGGGCAAAAAATGTATTTTCGGAGCTCTAAATAGCTCTCTTTCTTTCTCTTCTTCTCTATTGAATTTTCTTCTTCCTCTTTTTTCTTGTTTAATTATTATTTTGTTTTTCATGGGTACATCTAGCATTTTGAGATAAATAAATAAATAAAAGGATGGAGGAAATTTCGTTTTTTTTTTCCTCCTTCTGAAACGTGTAATCTAACGAGGATAACCATGGTCAGTTGATTTTGGTTAACCATGGTTAAGGAAATTTGGCAATCTTCAATTTATCTTGCCTTAATGCCTTCCTTATTTTTGGACTTGAAACCAATAAGTTCGGATTCATTAAACGCTTTGATCCAAAATATAGAAAACATTGATTACATACTTTTGTTCCGGTGTGTCTCCTTGTTAGGAAATGTGCCATATGCTAATTGACATAACTAACAAAAAAAAAAGTAGTTAATTATTACTAACTTAAACCCCGAACAAACTCTTAATATTAGATAATCCCAATTTGATTTGAGACTTATGATGTAGAGTGTGAGACGTGAATCTTCACTCTATATCGTTCTAATTTTGTCAGAAATTTCCAAAGGGACGAATACTTAATATGTTATTCTTTCATATTAGAGGAATTGGTCAAGTCATGAGAGCACTAGGGCGATGGGTGAAAGATGGAAGAAGGAGAGCTTGATCAAGCTAGGAAGAACACAAGAAGGGACAAGTATGTTTCAAGATTATAAGTTTATTAGTTTGATGCATCTTTTTAATATACAATAATGTGTTGCTAATCGTATCATTTTCTATTTTTATAGATCATCTCCTTTGGGATGGAGAAGTGCAAACTTGGGAATTCGAGAACTGTTAACTCTTCTATGAGTTCTATATACAAAAGTCGAGTATTTAAGAAGAATATTATGATGAGTTGTAGATTGATGAGTTTCTCATTGATATGGCAGACCATATGAGTGAACTCCCTAACTACAATAATTTTATGGTACTTGGCAATTGTTTTTTTTTTAAAGCTCTCTAGCTGAAGCAGATTTATTGTACTTAAAATGATTTATAGAATAGTACGAATGGTACTAAGTTAATTGGATTTGATTGGGCTCCAGTTTTATTAGAAGAAACCCTAGGGTGATTGCGACATGAACGTTTGTACAAACCTGGCCATGGAGAGGGAAGCTATGTCGTCCCCGGAAACGGTGCGGTCTAAAACCGTCAGAGCTCGTGGGCTCCCACCGTCCGTCGACTGAATCTTCTTCCCCAAACAGCAAAAGAGACAAGGAACAACAACATCAAAAGAAGAAGGTTAGAGCAATGAATCTAAATCAGAACAACGAGATCCATGATGTGGAGTTCGAGGACTATGTGCAACATGTCTTTGGCCCATTCCCCGACCCAGATTTGACGATGTGAGAAGGGAGGTCTTGGGGGGGGGGGGGATTGGGCAAAGGGATCAAAACAACTTTATGATGAGGAGGATAGTGCGGAAGGATGTTATGTCGCGGATTCAGATTCGGAAGATGTAGCTTTAGCAGAAAAAGAAGAGGATGATATAATTGATGAAAGCAAGTTTAACCCTACCCGCCCTAAGATATGCTTTAGTGAAGCGGAGAAAATAAGCTTTCGAAGGGAGTGAAGATCGACTTTGATGGTGCGAGGGTTGGGGAGGTTTGTTCCATATCTTCCTTTGGCCAGAAGACCAAATTTTCTATGGGCACGACATGGCAGGATTCAGACATCAGACATGAAGAACGAGTGCTATTTGGTCCGATTCAAGAGCAAAATTGACTACAAGTTTGCGATTACGGGTGGGTCGTGGCTTCTTGTCTACACCTACCTCATCGCTGGTATCGAGGCTTCAATCCTTGGACGTTGGTAGTCAAATCTAGTCTTATTTGGGTTCAAATACCAGATCTTTCGGTGGAATTTTTCAACCCGATAGTTGTTAATCGGATTTCATGATTCATTGGGAAACCAGTAAGAGTAGATAGGGCGACCATAGAAGTAGCTAGAACAAAATATGCACGAGTTTGTGTGGAGGTTGACCTGACAAAGCCGCTGCTATCCCAATACAAAATTAGAGATGTCATCTATTACATCACATATGAGGGGTTATTTAATGTATGTTTTAACTGTGGCATCTATGGAATGGGCATTGAACATTGCACCTGCATGCAGCCGGAACCTATGATTAATATGATTGAAGAAGGCGAGAAAGAGACGAAGGAAGCAGATCCTGAGAACCCGAAAGAAAAAATATACGGGGAGTGGATGATAGCACAAAGGAAGGAACAGAGGTCGATGACCGGTAAGGACAGGAAAGGGAGCCATGAAACTCGCCAGCTAGATAGCAAACTTTCTTCCTCCCAAAACACATTTGCAACTTTTGCCGAGGAAGAGGAACCGACCGCTGAGCTCCATGCAGAGTGCAGACCATCCATTTGAGGGCCAAAATTTGCAGCAGTCTGGTGGAGTAGGAAATATCATGAATAATGACACTCCATTAGGGGGACAAGATGCAAAGAAAAGGAAGAAGGTGGTTGAGGCCATGCTAAATGTGCATCTTCAAAGGAAAGATAAGGTGAAAAATCAGAAAGAGCTGACGAATGAGGGAGCTAGCAGTAAGGTAGGTGGCGAGAAAGCTAAAGAAGGGCTCGCAAGGAAGGGGGTGCTAAGGCTTCCCATCCGCCATACAGGGAAGCCGACCGAAGATAGTCGTGAGTAAAGGACCCAATAGAGGAGAGAAACAAGGAGTTGGACAACCACTAAATCCCAACCATTCAATCCCTAATGTTAGTTAGAGGATAGGGTTGTCACATATGTGTTGTCACATATTATTTGTTTCAGGAGGGATTTTTACTGGTAAGGTACTTGGGTGTTCCCCTAAAATATGGAGATTATGCAACCTTAGTAGAGAAAATAACAAAGAGAATAAAGGACTGACAACCTAACATGTTAACATATGCAAGAAGGCCCCAACTTACCATTGAAGTGCTAGAAAGTGTGACAAAATACTGGATGGACATTTTCGAGTAACCAAAGAAAGTACTCCATACTATTGAGAGATAATGCTCAAATTTCCTCTGGGTGATGCAGTCCAGAAGAAGAAGGAAAAATTTATGTGGAAAGTGGTTGCATTACCAAAGGAAGAAAGAGGCTTAGGTTTCAAAGATTTGTATAGCTGTAATCAAGCTGCATGGCTAGATATATTTGGAACACATCTAACTAGGGGTGTACATGGGTCGGGTGGTTCGAGTTTGATCATTTTAATTACCGACCCATACACTGTGGTTTTAAAAATATCAAATCCAAACCCACCCAAAAAATTTAGAACCCTATGGTTTGTTTATAGTTGGGTTGGGGCGGGTTGTAGATAATTTTAACTAAAAATCTGATAGAAACCTATTTCCAGGGTTCTATCGGTTAGGTTGAAAAATTGGGAATTGGTAGAGATTTAGGGATTTAGAAGAGAATTAGGGAAGAACAGAAAGAACGGCCGAAGCCTCTGGAGAGAAGGATAGACAAGATTTGAGAGAGAAAGAGATTAGGGTTTTGGGGAAGGATGGTTTTTCTATTAATTTCTGCTTAATTAAACAAAAGACCTAGAATACATATTTATAGCCTAAGAACGGGAAAACCTAATAGACTATCCTAATATAATCCAAAGACTACTAACCATATCTAATAAAATCCTAATAATAGTAATTAGGATAATTAGGATAAATCCCAAAAATTGGGTTTCTATCATCCCCTCCCCCTTGAGACCAACCTTGCCCTTAAGGTTGATCAACTCAACTCACTTCTTCTTGACCTTCCGCTTTCTTCGTTTCCAGTTGCGCTCAATTTCATGAATGAACTCTTCTCGCGTAACTCCAACTATCCTCGAATCTTGGTATCAGAGCCAAAGGGTGGTTGCTTACCCTATTGGGTTTGGCCCTGGGCCGAATTTGACAACGGGCCAACTCTGTTTGAGCTAATTTCTATAATTTAAAATGGCCTTAACTGTCTCGGTAGTGTCTATGGCTATTCTTTTCCTTTTATCCCCTGTTTGAATTTGACATTTTCGTTATTTATGCTATTGGAATAACTTTTGTTTGATTTAATTACTTGTCTAATACTACCATCAGTGTAATTACCTTGCTCTTAATTTCCCTCTTATAGTTCATATTGGTGACTACATCATATTATTGGTGTGGTATATTCGGTAATCCCGATTATGTCTCATCGGTAGACTTTTATCTCTTTAGACAGATATTTCTAACACCATAGTCGTGCATTGTTGGTTGGTCATTTTCAAGTGCTCATATGGTATGAAAGCAATTGCAGGAAGTTTCATCAATCTATAGTTTAGTCTTATTCGTTTATACAAATTTATGAGAATAATTAACCTTTCTCTGTCGAAGATTGCTAATGTCCCTTTATTTTCTTTGTTGTGGATTTTTGTTGCAAGTCGATACCGATCATCCGACATACTCCGTTGAAGGAAACTACACTCGCTGGCGGAACTATCGTGGAGATGTTGGGTTTGTGTTTGTGTTTTTGTTTTATTTCTCCTTCAGTGTCGTGTCTTTGCTCCTCGGAGCTTCTTCAGAGCAGCCCAAGTAGTGGCTTAACAGGCTCTTTCATCGTAGTCTGGTTGCATACGGACTAACGTATTTATTTTGAGTCAGTCTTGTAATTGTGTCGAGTTTTTGTCCCATGCCCTTTGGGCTTGCCTTGGAAAAAAAAAACTTTGTTTGAGCCAAGAAGGCCAGCGGGACAGACAGAGAAGTGCGCCTATTGGGCTGACCGAGAGCAGCTTGAGAAGCTTCTTCTTGTGTTGGGTTGGGCCGAAATCTAAGGGCCCAATGGTTGAGGAAGGGGGCAGTGGGCTCATTGGGTTAGGTGGATTTTCAAGGAAGCTTAATCCACACCCACTTGTTTTCACCACCATGCTCATGGTGGATTCGATGGAGTTGTTAATTAAAGATTTCAGGGTGGCGGAGGTGCATAATGAAGAACAATTTTCCCAATTCTTATTTTGTGAATTTCGAAGAGGGCGAATTGTTCGGCTATGAAGAAGGTGACATATGTCACATGGGTGAAGGAGATTTGAGGATAGTTGGAGTTGCGCGAGAAGAGTTCATTCATGAAATTGAGCGCAACTGGAAACGAAGAAAGCGGAAGGTCAAGAAGAAGTGGGTTGAGTTGATCAACCTTGAGGGCAAGGTTGGCCTCAAGGGGGAGGGGATGATAGAAACCCAATTTTTGGGATTTATCCTAATTATCATAATTACTGTTATTAGGATTTTATTAGATATGGTTAGTAGTCTTTGGGTTATATTAGGATAGTCTATTAGGTTTTCCGGTTCTTAGGCTATAAATATGTATTCTAGGTCTTTTGTTTAATTAAGCAGAAATCAATAGAAAAGCCATTCTTCCCCAAAACCCTAATATCTTTTTCTCTCAAATCTCGTCTATCCTTCTCTCCAGAGGCTTCGACCGTTCTTTCTGTTCCTAATCCCGAATTCTCTTCTAAATCCCTAAATCTCTACCAATTCCCAATTTTCCAACCTAACCGATAGAAACCTATAAATAGGTTTCTATCAAAATCCAACCCAACACACAAAAAAAAAAAAACTATACTACACCACACAATATTATATAAATAATTCAATTTCAAAACAAATAAATCAAAACGAAAAGGTATCAAAATGCATAAATGATATTTGCATTTTAATGAAATACAATTTGCTTCAAAATAGGTATAGTTTTTTCACACACATTTGTCGAAATAAACTAAAATGATTATAAGAGAACACATTCATAATATATTATTCTTCTAAAATTGTACAATAAAAAAATTATGTGAATTGTAACATATATTAAATATACGTCTAAACTTCAAGTAGAAGAACGTGTTACGTTAGGGAAACAACAATAGAAAAATATGATAAAATATCTTAAATTTCTTACAAATATGTTTTGGATATGAACATTTATGATAATAGTCGGAACACGGGTCGGGTCGGGTTCTACGGGTTGCGTAACCCAAAATCCGGACCCAACCCAATAGAGGTGGGTTGTACAAAATAAAACCCTCACCCAATCATATTTTTAATTCTAGCAATAAATACGGGTGGGTTGGATCGGGTTGGACGGGTGAGTCGGTTTGCGGGTTGTTTTGTTTACCCCTATTTCTGACCACAAAACATCATGGGTTAAGAAATATATGCTCAAGAATACGAGGGTGTAGAAGAAAAGGACTTCTAGATCATGTGCATGGAATAAGATACTCAAACTAAGAGGGAATAGTATGGTTGAGGTGACAAAATTAGGGGGGGGGGGGTGAAGTGTAATGATGTTCCAATGTTGGAGTACATGGTATAGGTGTGGGAAAGCCTAAGACCAAACATTTTATTTTTCCATTGACAGTTCATGGACTTCATTTCATATAGTTGTTTTTTTTTTACAAAGGATGTGCTTATATTGCAATATGGAAATCACGGTTACAAGAGGCGGATTACATCAATGGAACAAAAGCAAAATGGACACTCTAATAAAAAGGCAGAACAATCAAAGACAAAAGCAAAGCTAGAGAACCAGCCACAAGAAAGAGCAGGCAAGATTGAACTACACCAATATCAGAGAGCCATCACCAGAGCTAAGGAAGTGAACCCAAGAACCTCACGCTTCCACAACCAACAGATCAGCAACAAAGCAGGGTTTCAACTCTCCCAAAACAGACAAGACCATGGCGCTTGAAAACACAACGCCATAAGCCGCCTCTTGGGGATCGTTCGAAGACGATCCATCACAGTGAATCATAAGCTTGCAATTACATGGCGGTGGGCAGGGCTGAAACCAGGATGCTCAGAGCTGAAAAAAGGTCGAGGATGCCGAAGGCAAGATGGACCGAGAAATGGAGAGACAAAGAACTCCAGCCTAGTCTCAACCGAAACCCAGAACAGCTGTCAATGACAAACGTAAATGACACCGAAACCCAAAACAGCCGAGAAGAGACGAGGCTGAGATGCTCACCAACAGTCGACGGCAGGGGAGAACGACGAATGAGTTCTTCCGAACAGAAGAAACCACCAACAAGGAGGAGCCACTCAAGCACCAGATCTTCAAAAGAGACTCTCCCAGCTGCAAAATCCGAAACCCAAGCAGAGCAAAGCAAGACCAGAGAGGAAAATCCTAGATCCGAGAAGAAGAGCAGCCGCTCTGAAATCTGAAACGCCACATCGGCAGAGAAACCCTAAACTAAAAGATCCGGGTGAAAATCGCCAAAGACAAAGGCTTGAAACACAAGAGCAAAGGAAAGTACAGAAAAGAGAGACTGAGCTGCCGTCGGTCACCAAAAGGAGCCGGCGGCAGCCATGGGGAATGTGAAAAAGGAGCTTGCTCCTAGAGAGAGGGGAGAGCGAATTTTGAAAAGGAAAGTAAGAGAGAGGGGGGCTCATTTCATATAGTTGTTGATGGCACTATATTAGCACCTAATGGGGGCGTTGTACGCATCACTAGACATGAAGACTCTCTACCAACGTTTGCGTGTGGTTGGTTTTTAACAGGTATTGCAGACTTACACAGTAGAATTAATGACATTTAAGGAAGTCCTCCTTATGCTATCATGGTCTTAATAATGTTGTATATGGTTTCACCTAGCTAGCTTGTGTGCGAATCTGTACGAATAAATGTCGCAATTATTATGACGTTCCTCAATCTTGCCTGATTTATCTCCAAGAATATCCATGACATAGAAAGGAAGATACTAGTGAAATGCCGATTTAATACCTTGTTTCGTCTTATGATGGACAACATTGACTTGAAGCAAGCATAATTTTCCAAACTGCGCCAGTGAACAAGAGAAACAAAGTATCACATGAGATTTCAATGTCTTTTTACCGAGGATGGAAAGGTCGTATTGTACCGGTGGTCAGACCGAGAAAATCTTCTACCAAGGCCTAGATCGATAGGCGAGTCTTGATGGTAAGAAATGATTGAACTACGATTAAACCACAATTTCAGTATAAAATACACACGCCGAATTTTCCAATACCCCCTTATTACAACTTTACAACCCTTCATTTCTTCTAGTTAGGATTAACACTTCATCTTATTGCTTAATGTCTTTAGTAAATTATCTGATCTGGCAATGAAACCTATGCTGTGTAATTAAGATCAGGCAAAAATGGGCTAAAAAGTAAAAACTCAGCTGCAGTTGGCGGAAGCAAAGATGCACCCTATTTTGGGCCGGTTGGGACAGAAAGAAATCTGATCAGACGAGGCCCACTGTCGATTGGAAGGGCCCAAGAATCTCTTATCACTACTTGCATCATGGATTGGCATTAGATCACTAATTAAAGAAACACAATCACTATCTTGCTTAAATCCAATTCAAAACATGCATCCTTTCATAAAATCATAATCTGTACTTTTCCCCCAATTTGAAACTGCCGTATTCCTCCACTATCCCGTCCATGTACATTCTACGATAAGGAATATATAAACACGAAACAAACGGCGAAATTGAGAGCGTATCCAGTCTCAAATCTTCACTCTTCAGTTCAGTCCAGCTCCAATACTATCTCATTTCAGTGGGGGGGAGCTACAGCGATGGCGGCAGCTGGTTCAGTCCAGAAAACAGACGAAGAATGGCGGGCGATTCTCTCTCCCGAGCAGTTCCGAATCCTCCGCGAGAAGGGAACCGAGTAATCCTTCTTCTTCCCTCGTCAATTTGGATTTCTGAATTCGTGTTTCTCGCATGATTGTTGAAATGTGGGTTTCCGAATTCTTGCTGCTGTTTTGACAGGTTGAAATTCACCGGGGAATATGACAAGTTCTTCGACGAAGGCGTTTACAAATGCGCTGGCTGCGGTACTCCTCTTTACAAGTCTGCCACCAAGTTCAATTCCGGCTGTGGTTGGCCGGCTTTCTTTGAAGGACTCCCTGGAGCCATCAATCGCACTGTGAGATCTCTCTCTCTGTTCTCTACCCACAATCCCTTCTCCCCTGTTTTTTTTTTTTTTTTTTTTTTGGGTTAGGCGTCTCCGTGTCAATTGATGGAAAGATGGTTGCTTTATTGCTTTTCAGCCGGACCCAGATGGGAGGAGAACTGAGATCACATGTGCAGCTTGCGGCGGGCATTTGGGCCATGTTTTCAAGGGTGAAGGGTTCAAGACCCCAACAGATGAACGCCACTGTGTCAACAGCGTCTCTATCAAGTTTGTTTCTGGGAATTGATGGGAGATTTGGTGTTTGCTTGTGGTGTGAGAATGTATGTGTCTGATGAACCAATAGATCAGAAAGCCGTCGATCATCTTGTTGAAACAGAAATCATGTGAAAGCAATAATGGAAAAACCAGCTAGCTAGCTTTTTGTTACATTTCAAAATATGGTGTTTGTTGCCATGTTCACTAATGTTTGCTTTACTCACTGGGAGGGTGAAGCCATTGTTGCTAGCAAATTTTGGTTTGATGCTTCCTTTGTATTGCGGAGTATAGATGGATACTTTAATTGGGTTAAGGAGTCTTTGGCAGAAGCTAGGAAATGGCCTTCTTCATTTGTTCCGTGTCCTGCTGCAGATGCGTCTGCAAAATCTCTCCTTTTGCCGATGCTTCTGCAAAAGATGGCTTCAGTTTATCTCCAATCCCAAGTTTATCGAACGCTAACTTTTAAAGATCCCCAACCGTTGTCCGTTGGCATCTTGATGCGCAGTCTGTATAGTTCGCAAGCTAAGAATAAACCCGAGTTAGCAGCGGTTCAGGAACAAGCTGCTAGCGACGTCATTGGCTTCGAGGTGGGTAGAGAGAATGGAGGTCTATTCTATCGTGGTGTAAACTTACCAGACGTTTGAGTTCACGGCGGGAGGATCTTGCCATGGTTAATCTGTCTCTCCCAAAAGAATGAAGAAGACTGGGATTATGCCCACATTTGCAATCCCATCTTGGGGGAGAAAATCTCCTTCCCAGTGGGCAGTGGCTGACACTGGGAAGTACGCTACTGTAAGCTCCGTGTCTGAAACATGACTTGTGTTCTTATTATGAATGGCACAGATCCCCCTTGTTTCAGTATTATGCAGAGGTGGTCAGTTTTTACATGAATCGCTCGATCGAGCTCGACGTGAGCATGATCTCGTCATATCTTTGCCTCATTCTTGACATGTTTTGTCTCAATTCTAACCATCACAGAATTACAAGACTAAAACCCGAAAATGGGGATTTGATTTGAGCAAATAGTATTCGTGATGGCAATTAGCAAAACATAGAGAAACTTGGTTTTCCAATAAAATGCAGCAAGCTGAAGAACTTCATTTCCCTTGGTTCTGCTCTTTCCTCTTCTCACTGCAGGCCTTCAAAGCTTGGACCTCTGTGGAGCATTTAAACAAACAGGTGGTCGGCAACTACAACAAAAGGATTTTACTCATAAACACAACCAGAGTTCAATCAAAATAGCGAAAAATCGTTCTATACAAGAAAACCTCGCATTACCCTTTTGGCAAGCTTTCCAGTTCCTGTCTGTATTCACTAGACATTCCTGCAAATCTCCCAAAACAGTAATCTGGGTTTAGGGTTTTAGCAGCGTGAGAATGGAATCGAGTGGAGGAGCCGTTTGTGCAAGATGCTAACCTGAAGGGAGAGGTAGATGGAGGAGCAGTCTCCGAGCTGCTTCACGGTCTCGTCTTCCTCGTCGGCGTCATCCCGGTGAAGCGGCGGAGGCGGCGGTGAGGATTCTTCCTTCTTCTGTTCCTTGTCTTGCGAGTTCCCCATGGCTCTCCGGTTTCGGTGGCTCTTTCTCCGTCGGTGGGAACAAAACTGATATGCTCTATTACTAAGTCCAATGGACTTTTTTGTGGGCCCGTTAAACGAGGCGCCATTATTCAGGTCCACAAATTCGGCCCAAAGACAGGAAATGCCTTATTTCAGGCCCAAAAAAAGACCAAATCCGGAAGGGTTAAGGATAGGCCAAACTAAGACTAAAGCGTCGTCGTTATACAAACGGCCGAGTCATTGTTTCTCCCACCGTCTCAAAGCCGGCGGGGGGATTTTCCGGCCAATCTTTTCCCCCCTTCTCTTAAATTAAGCACTGGTTCGGATCTCTGGGGGCACCAGTTCATTCAAAAAAACCCTGATGGACAGAGAAGATTTATTGACTAAGAAGCGCCTCTGAGGCTGAAAAGCCCCAAGCTTTGGATCAGAAAGGAAGCAGCTTTCGTCGCTGGGGTTTTCAGTTTCCCCGCTCTTCTTCGTTTCTGGGCGCCCGCCATTAATATAGAGAGCTGAAACAAGAAAAGGCGAAGGAGGAGGAGAAGAAGAAGTATGGCGTTCGCGTTTGGGAAGGACGCGGGGCCCACAGGACGAGGTAACAAAGTTTTACCATTCGGTGCTCCGGCGGCATCTCAGGCACCGCCTTTAACTCAACCTGGCCCTCCACGATCTCCATGGTATATTTCCCCCTCCCTTTTCTAGTAGTTCTTCAAGAAGTTTTGGTTGGTTCAGTGTAAATGGAACCCTTAGGATTGCAGTGCTCTTTGGGTTTAGGGTTCTCATAAGGGACTATTGAATACTTGCTTATTGGGGGGCCTCAGCATATTCAGTCTTGAATTTGGAATTGGCATTGTCTGATTGTTAGTTTAGTTTTGAGAATGGTTAGTTTACTGATAAAGACTTTTGAGCTCAAATTATGCTTGGCCAGCTCATATGGGAAGTTACCTGGTTGGCCCTGAAGGTAGCTTGTCATCATTTGTTAGAGCTAGAAATTGCTGTTTTGTGGATAAAATAGGGATTAAATATAGATCAAATTGCATTTCCATGGATCAAACTGTGCTCATGATGTTCAGTTACCATCTCAGGGGCCCTCCTCCAATGGACAGCGCGCAGTTCCCACCATTGGGTTACGGAACTCCTCGCTTTGTGGGAAGTCATTATCCATCAGCTAGAATGCCAAAGTACAATCGCATATCTGTGCATGCTTGGTTGTGATTTGAAACCAGGATGGTCTATGGAATTCCCTACTTATGGCTTGCTTTTGTTTCTATGATAGTATGTCTGAATCACAAAGACCACAGTCTTTCACATGGAGATCTGGCATCTCTCAGTCTCCTGCAAGCTATCCTTCCTTAACAACTAGGCCTAGAATGTGAGTGATGTACTGTCTTTCGTGCTCGACTGTTCTGTTTCTCTTGGAAAGATGGATCCAGCTTGTTTTCATTTAGGTTAACTGTAAGTACATATGTTTATGCTTGCCCATTGTGTTTAGAGTTTATGGATGGGGGAAGCTTAGCTCAAGTAATGGTTCTGTGTCTGTAGCTCTGATGAGTGTCTTACCAGTTACCACATTGGTGTGTTATATTTTTCTCCTAGGCCTGTCGAATCTCCTCCTAGATGGGGAAATGGAAACCGGTCTTTCTTGAACGGGGATGGTCAGAAAGATCCCACGCCTTATGCTGTCAAATCTCTTGTTGCTACTCGTAATTCTGGAACTGCAGTGGCAGCTAAGGTCACTGGATTACAAGACCAGAAAAGAAGTAGATCACCTTATTCTACTGATGAAGTTGGTTCCCAAAATTCGAGTTTAGGTTTCTCGCAAAGGTAAGCTTCTCTGCTTAGTGTTTGTCTTTCTGTTTAGGATGGAGCATGTAATCCTGCATAATCTTCCTGTTTAGTTAGCTATAAGTGCATGCATGTCCACCACCCATGATGTTTAGACTTCATACTGGAAAGCTAGATACAAGTGTGTGCTCTGCAGACGCTTACCGAAATAAGGGTTCTTACCAGTTACCCCATTGGTGTGCTACGTATTTCCCCTAGGCTTGTCGAATCCCCACCTGGATGGGGTAATGGAAACCAATCTATCTTGGATGGTGATGGTCAGAAGGATCCTGCGCCTTATGCTGCCAAATCTCTTGTTGCTACTCGTAATTCTGGAGGTGTGGTGGCAGCTAAGGTTACTGGATTACGAGACCAGAAAAGGACTAGGTCATCTACTCATTATACTGATGAAGTCGGTTCGCAGAATTTGAGTTTAGGTTTCCCGCAAAGGTAAACAAACTTATCTGCTCACCTTTTGTCTTTCTGTCCAGGATGGAACATATAATTTCATCTTATCTCTCTTCACTTTGTGCCAATTGTAAATGCCTTCGGTTTTTAATTCTTTTTGCAGGGCTGCTTATTCTCCACCTGCATGGGACGATAATAATTCCAGGGTGCCAGGATCTTTTCCAAACTTATCAAATCATCAACTGTCCCCAGGTCAAGTGAATGAAGTTACAAACGGCCATCTCCAGAAGCGAAGTAAATCACCTACTGCTAACGGAAGTTTTCAAGGAAATGCACCTTTCATAAAAAATGAAAGGTAGTCCTCGAATACATTAACTGAATTTTGGTTCCGTATTTGTTAAAGAGACATCCTTGTTCTATAAAAGTCTCACAGGCGTGGATAGGAACTGTCATGATTTGGAAAGCTGTCTGATGTGACTTTGTTTTATTTCAGTAGTGAGATTTTGCACAACAACCCCTTACATTCTTTTAGGGTCTTGATATAGTAAAGAGACAGATTTATAGGTCTCCCCTTAAATTTCCCCACCGCCTATCGGAGAGCTGCACCTCATGACTCATGCATACTGTATTCTTTATTGGTTAAAGTATTCTAATAAAAGTTATCATTTATCAAACAAACACAAACTTTGGTGACGGTCATATTTTATAAGTGCGCTGAATAACCATAGAAAAACAGGAATATGGTAAAATGTTTTCTATTTGCGAGGGCTTTCCACAGAAGTATTTGCTAGTGACCTATTTTAACGGAGAATGAAGGATTTTATGCCTGAAGATTATTACAATTGACTAGTGAAGGGGTGTATTTCTCATCCTTTCTGCATTTCAACAATTGTTTTTGATCCTTCCTTTTGCAGACCTTTCTCTCCAATTGGATTGAATACTCAATCTGATCCTATTTACAATAACGCGGACTCTCAAATTCCACAAAGAGTGCTGCCATCTTTCAAGAACACAACTGCGGAATCTAGTCCCACTAGAAATACCAGTGCCTTGGTTTCAAAGAGAACAAGGTCACCAGAATTTGGTTCTCGCAAGGTTCTCCCAGGAAGCTCCTTTTCGACCATTGATGATACTGAACGGTAAAGCCTTACATAACTATTCAACGGAATAATCATGGCTTTCTTTTCAATTTAATGATGGTGAATTTCTACTTGATATGCAGAGAGATACAAGCCAAGGCAAAGCGTTTAGCCCGCTTCAAGGAAGAATTAAGTGAAGAAATTGAAAATGGCTCGGATATTGGGGATCGAGATATTCCTGTCGGTGGACCCGAGCAATCCAAGCAAAGACAAAATGTTCCTGTGAATCATTCGACAGAAGACCGCACCAATGACAATAATGTCTCAGATTTGGAGGGTTTGGGAACATCAAGACTTATTGTCGGTGTGTGTCCTGATATGTGCCCTGGTAAGCTTCTTTTCAACTAAGAGTTAGTTATTTGCGGCCTAAGACATAAAATTGTGACACCAATGTTCTGATCTTTTGGTTATAGCAAGAAGCTATGGGTATAGTAAACCATGTTGTTAATGCCTCTGATCCTTCGAATTCGTTACTGATAAGTAATTGGTTTCTGAGAAGATTGGATAAATATTATCTGAATTGATACTCGATTGCAGAATCTGAAAGGGGCGAGCGAGAAAGGAAAGGGGATCTTGATCAGTACGAACGTTTGGATGGGGATAGAAATCAAACAAACCGTTTGCTTGCAGTTAAAAAGGTATATTTGATGCAAATTTTCACCTACAAATTATGTTTTTTATGGACCCTTTCTTGCTCTGTTCCTGACTAGACAATGCATTTGGTTTATTTTTGTCAAACAGTACACTAGGACAGCAGAGAGGGAAGCATATCTTATACGTCCAATGCCTGTCCTTAAAAAGACCATTGATTACCTACTTAGCTTACTGGATCAGCCATATGATGGCAACTTCCTTGGAAGGTACAACTTTCTGTGGGACAGGATGAGAGCAATCCGGATGGACCTGAGAATGCAGCACATTTTCAATTTGGAAGCTATTACTATGTTGGAGCAAATGGTATTCTTTTTATCTTTGATTATAGTTCCTATAAGTTGAATCCATTTAGTATTTACGAGGTCCATATGAGATGATATCATTATCACTTCTTCCTGTTTACGATGTTCATACCAGTTTAGCAGTTAATTCATTTTGATACATTTGTTGTTTGGAGATCTTACTATGTGTTGCCAGTGGCTCGAAAAGATGTTCTTATATCTCAGAGGCAAATATATCATCTTTGATCTGACTTCTGTTTCACATTAATTTAGATTCCATATGACAAGACAAGTGCATCTATAGTTACATACGCACAGCTATATTAGTCTTTTTAAGAATATTGGCTCCCTTGTTACAGTTGGCAATGTTGCCTTCAGGAATAGCTCTAGTTAGGTACTTGTCCTGATAATTTTGGAACACAATAACCTTGTTTAAAAATTGATGTTTTTAATTATTTGATGTCTTGCTTGACCTTCTCATGGCATGTCATTTGAGTAAGTATTATATTGATGATGATATTGTGTAGATGGAACAAACCAAGTCATTTGATTCCTCCGAAGATTAAGCACACTAAAGTATTTATAATTCTTCTCCAGGTTAACCCTTTGCTTTTTGGATGTGAATTTCAGATAAGACTTCATATAATTGCAATGCATGAGCTGTGTGAATATACAAAGGGAGAAGGCTTTTCAGAGGGATTCGATGCACATCTAAATATTGAACAGATGAACAAAACATCTGTCGAACTATTTCAAATGTATGACGATCACAGGAAGAAAGGCATTAATGTTCCGTCAGAAAAAGAATTCCGTGGCTATTATGCTCTTCTCAAACTGGACAAGCATCCTGGATACAAAGTAAGTTACCTTCATTAGTTCATTAGTTTCTTTAAAGCTCCCACCCCTCCTTTCTCTCTCTTTCCCTTCTTTTGTTGTGTTGGCTAATCGATGTTCTGTAGGTGGAACCTTCAGAGCTGTCACTAGATCTGGCGAAGATGACTCCTGAGATAAGGCAAACCCCTGAAGTGCTTTTTGCTCGTGATGTTGCAAGGTATGTAGTTACTTCCTCTTTACGAAATTATTATTAGCTTGTAGTACTTTCTTTTACTCACTTATACTTTTCTCCCTTTCTTCAGAGCTTGCAGAACAGGCAACTTCATTGCATTCTTTAGGCTTGGAAAGAAGGCGACTTACCTTCAAGCATGTTTAATGCATGCTCACTTCGCTAAGGTATAACCGTATAAGCAAGTTTTTTCTTGCACAAAATTCTCAAGCAAATACGAACATAATAAAGAGTATAATGTCACTACTGTATGAAATTAATAACTATTCATGCTTTATTTTCAGCTACGAACCCATGCACTTGCTTCGTTATACGCTGGTCTCCAAACCAACCAAGGAGCCCCTGTTTCTCAAGTTGCTAAGTGGCTTGCTATGGAGGTTCCCCCTTACACTTAAACACTGCTTATTTCTCGACTAAGTAAAATTGGAGGATAAGTTAGCTTGTCTTATACTAGTGCCTTGTGGTGACTCAAATCTCAGGAAGAAGACGTTGAAACCTTATTAGCATATTATGGGTTCTCAATAAAGGATTTTGAAGAGCCATATATGGTGAAGGAAGGACCATTTCTCAATAGCGATAAAGACTTCCCGACAAAGCGTTCCAGACTCGTTCATCTAAAAAAGTCAAATACGATTGGCAAAGATATTTTGCCATCTGCTCAAGTCACACCTTTGCTTGCTGAAGCAACAAGAAAACTCCAAGTTCCTTCTATTGATAAGAAGAATCCAAGTCGCACCTTTACCGTGAAAGCTGCTCCTGCTTTGGTTGATAAGAAGAGATCCATCAGTGCAATAAATACTGAAATGCCTGATTCTCAGGTTGTGCCATCACCAAAGTTTGGCATGCAAAAACAGCGTACTACCAGTAGATCGGAAATTGATCGAATGGAGATGGAGACAAACAATAATAATCATGTAGCAGCAAGTGTAAATATTGCACCATGGAACTTTCTTTCAGCTTCTAGTTCTCCAAAGTCTCAGCCAGCCAAAGTTGGAGTACTGGAGAAAAGCACCAATGATTCTCCTTTCCCAATCACTAAAACTGAGGGTCTGCTGCCACAACCTGTGCTTGGAGTGCCGATGAAAGAGAGCCCTCCTAGTGGTGAAAAGGCTATGCCGAGGGAGTTTGTGATACATCAGATTGTGGTGGGCAATTTATTTCAAGATGAAGGAACCCCTGATGTCGATCAAGAAGATGAGGATGATAAGTCGGTGGAGAATCACGAAGATGAAGAAGTAGCTCGAGCGAAGCTCAAGTTGTTCGTAAGGTTGGCTATTACTTCTCAGTTCCTTTTGGTGCAAAGTGTCATTGATTGCCTTATTGTATTATTCACTTGACTTCTGTTACTTCACTTTCAGGTTATGGAAGCGGCGTGTTTCAAGACACAAGGAGCTACGCCGTCAAAGAGAGATGGCTGCAAATGCTGCAATGAGCTCATTATCGCTCGGGCCACTAATTCGAAGGATCCAAGAAGTAAGTGTTTCACTTTAAAGGGTGTTAATACTTAATTGAGGATTCCCGGGGTTACAGAATGATCAAATCATTGTCTTTTAATTTGCTTTTATTAAGCTATCACCGTCTACAACTCTTAGTTCTGTGTGTTCTAGTTTTGTGAAGCGACTTGTGTTTAACTTTTAGTAAAAGTGAGAAAGGGTGTTTGGTTAGGTAAGATTGAGAGCAAGTATAATAACAAAGAAATGAGTGGGCATTAGGAAATGAGGTATAATTTAAGGTTAGATTCTTATTTAAAGGAACAAAGTTTCCGTTGAGACTAGGAATTTTTTTCGGGAGGCGACTATTTGTTTTTCATACCTTAGACGGGGAATGAAGTGTTTGTTCCAGCTGTTAAGTCAAAATTTTAAGGGACTTTAATGAAGTCGATAGACATGCCTTAGATGGGGAATGTTGACAGGCTAGCTTCTACCCAAAAAAAGAAGAATTCTATCAACTTAATGCCCTTTTTTTTCTGTAAGCAGTTATCGTTAGATGACTTAATGCGACTCTTTCCTCTTGTTCTCATGCAGCAACCGAGCAACATTCTCGAGTTTGACATTGACTATGTCATGAAGGAGAGATGCAGAATGTACGAGCATTCTTGGTCTCGATTAAATCCTTCAGAAATCTTCGCAGGTGAAGCCAGCTCAAGAGATCCAGACCCCAAATATCTCTGTTGGAAGCTTGTATTATGTTCTCAGTCGCAGGAAGATGACCAACCGGAGCGCAGCATGCATGCAGCAGCAGGCCCTTGGTTATGTTCAAAGCTCATCCCAAACAGACCAAATGATACAGATAACAAGGACGAATTGCTAACTTCTTCTCCAGGCCTTTCGATATGGAGAAAGTCTGTTTCTTGCGAGGTGTGCTGCTTGTCGGTTGTCAGAAATTCCAGTTTTTGTACTCCGGACGAGGCAGCAGCTGGCGCAACTGCTGTGGTTTTCGTCGTATCAGAAACCATCCCAATGAGTTCTCAGAGAATCACACTCCATAATCTTCTCTCGGCTATACATCCAAGTTCTTCATTGCCTCTAGTGGTATTCTGTGGTAAACGGGATAGAACAGTTCCGGACCCTTTGTCCGCAATAGCTCATGAACTTGGCCTGAATAGCATCGACAAATCAAGAATAAGAAGTTTCTCCATTGTGTTCCTTGTTGGAGACGATGCCAATGGATTTTTCAGCGATAGCAGAGTGAGGGAAGGACTAAGATGGTTGGCTAGTGAATCACCCCAACAACCAGATGTTCAGTCTATAAGACTGCCGGAATTGGTTCTCGCACGGTTGAAGCCGTCTCTAGATGCACTCGAAAAAATGAACGACCCTGAAGTTGGACCAAACAGGTGTATATCAGCATTCAACGAAGCTTTGGATTGGTCTGTAGAGGAAATTCTTACTGCGGCCAGAGCTAACCCGACCGGTTGGCCTTGCCCTGAGTTAGTTATGCTCGAGGAAAGCGAAATCATGTTGATCGAGTCATACCTGCCAAGCATAGGGTGGAGTTCGCCTTCGAAAACCGAACCACTTATTTCTGCTTTACTGAGTTGTAAGCTTCCTGGATTTGCTGATGATCTATCATGGTTAGATGAAGGCACGGCAAACATGGGTGATGAGCTTGAGAAGCTTAGTACAGAAGCGGAGAATCGCTTGATCAGATACCTTACTGAGTCGAGTGGGATGATGGGGTTTTCATTGGCGGCCAGGGAGGCACATGTTGTCTTACAGAGAAGTGCTCGCTTGGAGTTCCGGGACTGCTCGAGTTACCATATTGTTGTGAATTGGGTGAAGGCCTTTCGAAGGGTTTTCAATTGGCAGCTCAATAAGTTATCGTCTGAGGCTTATGTATTAAGGTCTCACATTGTGGACTTGGAATCATTGATGCTTGATGAGCAAGGAAGCATTTCTTCACCTTATGTAAGCCAACCGTCCTTGGATCAAGTCATCCATGTTGGTTGCTTTCCTCTGGTGCTGCCGAGGGTTCAGCCTAAGCTGGTCACTTCTATTCGAGTATCGACACCAGATGTGCCTGCAACTGTTGACACTACTCTCCAGATTAGAAACGGTGAGCAAGCTTCTCCACCAATTGTGAGTCATGGTGTCGCAGGAGATGAAGAAAGACGAGCTGAGGTTAAAACGCCATTTTCCAGCAAACCCACCACAAAGGAGGCTGATAAATTAAGCAGGTTGTTGGAGCAGTGTAACATTGTGCAGAACTCCATAGAGGAGAAGCTTTCAATTTACTTTTGATGAGTTGGGGAGGAAAGTTCTGTCTTCCATGTATACGAGCCAATTCAATTTGGATTGAGGATGGATTGTACATACTGTAGCTTGTGTTGTATTCACTGTATCATGTTTGGTAAAGAAGTATGTCATAAAAGAAAAGTTCAGTGACGTCTATTCCCCTGCTTCTGAATTCCGAGTGTTGGAACAATGCTTTTCCTTGTGTTAATTTTGCCAAAGCTCCGGTACGCCTTTCTGTTGAAGCGGAAGATACTGTTACTGCAATGAAATGGAGAAGCTTCCGTGTCTACAAACATTTTCTTTATACAGACCCAAGTGGTGGGATTCAATCAGTTAAATCGAATCGGAAACAAGAAATCACTGAATCAATTATTGAAACAGACGAGAAGGCAGTTGTTCTGCAAATTTTTCCAGCATCATGGATCAATCAAAATGGGGCGTTATACTGCAAGAGTTGCACGATACAACATTGGATCACATGTGAATTACAAAGAATTCTAACCAGGGATGACATTTTTACAAGTTGAGCTTTGAAACAAGCTGCCCACCGTTGAACATCATCATTCGAATATTATCATTTCACAGCACTCAAAGAGGTTGTATTACATAGTTGCTGCTGCTCCAAGGTTATCATTTACCCCTCCTTCATTTTATCCAAATGCTGCTGTGGTTAGCACTTAGTAGCAGTATGTTGTCAACATTAGTGAGGCAGAGACCCTGGAATATGGGAATCCTCTGAGGGACTAATCTAGCACCATACAGATAACAACAAGAGCCCTTTCGAGGTCTTGTACTCTTCACATAAGACTGCTAACCTCCATCCTGTTGCAAGCCAAAACAAAAACCAATCGAACTCTCAACACTTGCAAAAGAGGGGCAACGTAGGAATGTTACTCCTTTCTCATAGATGGTGTGGAAACTCTCATTTCATGTCAATGCCAGAGTGTGCAAAAGAATGAAGCTCAAGACAGTTTACCAACCAGTTCAAAGGGTCTCCGATGTTGATCTGGAACAACAACTTGGCTTCGGTTAGCCGGACCTTGCGTGTCCGAGACATCAGTTCTTATCGATTGGTACATTTCTGACTCTGTATGCATTGAAACATCTGCAGATCCCTTGCCTTGCCTTGGACTCGCTACACTTTTATTGGCCACAGCTGTTCCATCCATTCCTGACTATATAAACAAAAATCAACATCAATAGTCAGAATCTGAAAGTAACGCCATTAAGATTGCAACATCAAGTAGTTGGGAGCAGGGAAAGCTTGCATACGTTAATCAAGTCTTTAATATGGACAATTAAGATCGTAATATCATCCGTACGATTCTCATTTTCCAGCCAAAGTTTGTATGATTCTCCCGCAATTGCAGAACATGCATCCCGAGGATCTCCATATCTTGCAGCCTATATCAACAGATGGATCATGAATCTGTTATCACAAGTTACACAGGCAAAAACTAAAACCTTCAATCTACATATCCCTCCATCTACATTCATTCACAACTAATGTGCCACCAACTTTCAGTGAACGAAGGTTGAGATAATTACCATATCAACGACAACTTGGCTGGAGAGAAACTCAAACACACCGTCACTGGCCACAACGAAGAACACATGATCGTGCGTAAGCTGAACCACAGACACCTCGGGCTCAGCAATAACACCAATCTTCTCAGCAGTACTATCCCCAACACTCCTAGTAAACGCAGTACCAGGATACATCCCATCCTGCACCCACAACCTTGGAGGATCTCCACCATCACTCTCTTCATCCCCCCACGACTGCACATTGGGATCTTTAAGCCCTTCCACTTGATCCACACTCAACACTCTCGCCCCACATTTCTTCACCCTCTCGTACTCGTCTTTCCTAAACGGCGTCTGATCACTAGACAAATCCTCTGCAACAATCCTGTTTCTCCTCTTGACAGCCATCACCGCCCTCGAATCGCCCACATTCGCTACGTATAACGTGTCCCCAACAATGAGTACTGTGATCGCCGTGGTGCCACTCATCGTGTCGTCGATCTCACTGTCGTGAAGCTCGGAGTTGGTGGCCGAGAAAGCCGAATTGTAAGCCGTTATAGGGTCGTCGTAGAGGGTTGGGTCGTTTGCTAGTATCTCCACTAACCTGTTCTTCACGAAATTGGAGCATTGTGCGCCGAATTGGCCGTGGCCGTCGAACACACCGAAGAAATGAATGTCTGGATTACCTTGGAGCCGTGTCTTGATCACGAAGCTATCTTCGTTCTCCTTGTCTGGCTGGTCGGGGTAGTAGCCTCTCTGAGTTAAAACAGAGTACAGTAACTTGAAGTTCCGTGAAGGAATTGAGATGGTTTCCAGGGACCTCTGAGTGAGTAAGTGTTTGCTTTTCCCGGCGCCTATTTGACGGAAGTCCTTGGAATCGCCGTCCGACGACGTCGGGTATCGGCTGCAGCACCTCCCGTGGACACAACCCATTTTAGATTCCAATTTAGAAGCAACCGCCGCTGCCGGAAAAACCCATATACGAAAGATTGCAGATTTTAGTTCTCGGATTGGAAACCAAGGTGAAATCAGAACTAAAATCTAAAGCAAACCCTAGAAGCAGAATGACCGGACGGAAAAAGGGGAGGTGAAAAGATTTGAGATTTCACAAAGTGGGTTTTCCCGGAATCGGCATTTTGGGGATTGGGGTTTGGAAAGCAGGGGAGGGGAGGGGAAAGAAACCCTAAGAGAGAGGAAGGGAGAAAAGATGAGAACTTTCTGCAGGCTTCTGATCACGAGGGGGAGAAGAATCGCGAAACAAGATGATTGATTGCCAATGTTGCTATTTTGGGGGCGCTCGAGAACAAATACAATAGAAGAATCGCAAAAAGAAAGGAAAAAACAACAGGGAAAATGCCAGAAAAGGGATATGATGATGATGACGCAAATGGTGGGGGATTAAAGGGAGGAGAGATTTCAATAGAGGCGAAATTTGGAACGGATAATTGCTGTTATGAACGGCGGAGAAGGGGAGAGTGAGAAGGGAGCAGCTGGAGAAGTAGCAACTTTTACAAGGAGGAGGAGAAGAAGAAGAAGAAGAAGAAGAAGAGACGGCAATGGGGGAAGAGAAGGAGATTAATATTCGATGCGCGCATGGGCGGCTTTCGTTTGTACAGAGGGAAATGACCCATTTTCCCAGAAACCAAACAGGGGCAAAAGAAAGTGAAAAGAGGGAACACAATCAGCAGAGCAGAGAGCAAGTATTGTGAATGGGAGTGGGGAAAGTTCGGTACTTTGATCGTCTTCTTTTTCTGTTTTGATTTTGTTTTCCTTTTGGTGGGATTAAAGATTCAGAAATGAGAAGGAAACGTGAGATCTTGGGTTTCAGGCAAGATTCTGTCAAGTGCCAAAAACACAACCAAAAGGGAAAATCCGGCAAAAGCGAAAATCAGGGAGAGGAAAACAAAAGATTATTGCTTTGCTTTGAGCTCTTGTTTGTCAAATTGTCTTCATACCAACACTACATGTGTTTATGTTTGGTAGGTCTATGTTAAGTATGAATGTATGATGCATGTAATTGCAAAATACATGATTTCTAAATATTACATTTTTCTTCTTGTTTCATTTTGATATAAAAACTATGGCTTTTGGTATCTCATGTAATTGCAAAGTATATGTCAAATTTAATCTTGCAACATTTTGGGTATTTATCTAATTTATGGGTGGTTTGGCAAGTACCTACTGTAGACCGTGTATTTTGTAGGTGAAATTGTGAGAATTCATGTAACATCGGAATACATAATTTGGCTTGCATGATGAATTCATGGTGTGACCCACATAAATTGAAGTGAGAGAACATGTATTCCGAAAAAACAATGGATAGATTCTTCTGATTGCCAAGTGATGAATTCCGACAGTCTCACCCTTCAATAACCCGAAACACTCAAACACCTGTATTCTACATCACATATGCTTGTCAAACGATCCAACATAACATCATTATGGTTATAATCCGAAGAAGGAACTCATCAAATAATCAAATGACCTATAACCCAACAATATCTCGACAATAAATGACCTAATAGTCGAATGTTTAAATGAAAAAAAATGAAAAACAGAACTCATCAATGGTGGGGCTACCACTTTAAAAAGTGAATCCTTTCCCCAACAAATCTGACGAGGAAAAGAGAAGGAAAGATCGTCCAAGCCAAAACAGGACCAATACAAACAATAGTGCAGCCTTCAACATCAGTCGTTCTCAATACAAAAGCAACTCTGGAGGAAATATGGAAAATGTTAGATAGATGAAGGCCATTTAGTGGAAAGGAAGGAGCTCTCTCTGTTAGCATAAGAAAGGTCTGGTCTTTGTCGGGTTTTCGGACGTTTCCAGGAACCACCATTGCCCCATGTGGAGAATATCTAAGTGACTGAACTGATAAATACAAGGACCAAAAAGAGCCAGCCAGCCAGCCATTAATAATGGACTGAACTGAACTGAATGAAGTGTATGTTCATTGAATTTGGGAAAGCAACAAAACATTGTTGAATCCCCCACGCAAAGCCAAAGTTTGGCTGAGGGAACACATAACACAAAGCTTGTTGGACAGTGCAGCCTCTCTCCTCTGAATGTTTTTGCAGGCTGCAGCAAGCCCTGCTCTGCTCCTAAACTGAACTGAGTAGTTCTGGGAAGATGATTACATCTAGCAATTGGAGTTTTTGGAAGCAATTGGTTTTTGACATGAATGATATCAAAGCATTTTGTATCGAAGAGGTCTTGATTCAAACCATCATTGGTTAGCACATGGTGTATGTCTGTCTGATGTCTGTGCAAACTTCAAGCTCATATGGACGATTTCTGTTTGAGGGGGGCGTATTAATACGTGGTATTATATCAATTATTTAACCTCTCACAACTTGTATTATTGATATGGTATTAAAGCATGTGTTGCTTGAGTGGTTCAAACATTAACACTTGATTAAAGCACAACATATATTGGGCATGTACACACTTCAACCTTGTGAGTCAGTTTTCATTTAAGATATTTACAAGTGATATAACATTCATAATTAACCTTCTTTAGATGACCATTCTAGTTATTGGTACCAAATAGTTTATGACATTCTTTGATGAATGAATGCTTTTTGTAATTCAACTATATTCCGTATTTTTCCTTTATCATTTATCTCGTTGTATGTCGATTCAGTTCGATTTTTGGAAAGCCGGCCAATGCATGCCCTAGTCAATGCATGACCAAGGATGTTGACTAATCTAAAATCTAGTTTGATACAATCTTCAATCGTTAAAGAACATGAACCTATGTCGATATCTAGTTTGATACTGTCTTCCTAGTTCTGCCTTGACTGGGCCGGAGTTAGATGATTCCTCGACTTTGACCAGTGAATCCTAGCCCAGAAAGTAATCCCAGCCCAGTAATCAGATTAAGATTAAGTGGGTAGTTTGTGGGCATAAAAATACTGACATGTTGTTCAAGCCCAGGTCCAAATAGTCTTTTGACTTTCCGGTGACAAGTAGTTTTGGATAGATTGGAGCCCAAGAATTTATAACCTCCAATCAATGACGCCTGCCCTTAAGTTTGATGGCATTGAACATTTACATGTTATATATAGTTCTTTTTAAAGAAAATTATGAAAGATGTTTTTCATGTATAAATGTATAGACAAATGGGAGTGCAAGATCAATTCATGTTCTCATGTTCAAGTAAAATGTGCATCGGGCTTGCAGTGGCGGAGCCAGAAAATTGGCCAAAGGGGTGCTTGTTCATGTAATCAAAAAGTCAACTATACAATAAAAAAGTCAACTTTAAACGAAAATATGATGTCAATAACATAATACCCAAGATTCGTACAATTACATAATAATAGTTCTACACACATCGCCTACAATGAACCTCGACGAGATTTCATATTCTGAAAGCATTATAGAACACATTCCTTGTCCAAACTAGCACACAAACTACCTTGTTTTTAAGATTGATGATGTGAGCCAAAGCAATTTTTGTGCTGCCGGCTTGTTGCTCCCCTGCTCACGATTGAAAAGAGAAGGAAGCTTGGAGGTCGGCGAGTGCTTGGAGGTCGGCGAGCTTGGAGGGCGGTGGGTGGAGGTTTGGCGAGCTTGAAGCCGAAAATGGAGAGCTTGGAGGGTGGACTCGCCGTCGTTGGAGGATGGAAGCTTCAAGCTTTCAGGTCGGCGAGCCGCGAGTGCACTTGCAGCGCCTCTGCTGCTGGCTGCTGCTGGGTCGTGGAAAACGAAAGTGAATTGGGATTTCTGCCTGGGATCGACGACAGTGTTTTGATATTAGGACAGATAATTACTATTGATATAAATAAAGGTGTGTGTCTAATAAATAAACAATGTCTTCTATCATAGATGGTGAGATTGCTTACCATCAATTATTGGGTTAGAGGTTCGACCCACAGCTCTCCCTATATATGCTCAGCTTTTTTTTCCCCACAGCCAAGGGGGCTGCATGCACCCCCTCCAGGGGCGGACCTATGTTATAGGTGGTGTGTCAATTGACACACCTCCAAAAAAAATTTCGATAAAAAAGTAAGGTTCGTCAGTACTAAAATTCGAACACAAGACCTCTTGACACAGCTCTATAGTAGACTCATAATCATTCCATCAGATTAGGAACATACTATTGTTATAACTTTGCTAAAGAACGTATTGTATACAGAAATTTATTAATGTGTAAATAATTTCCTTATACGGAAAGTTTATTGAATCCTCCACCCAATTCCAATTTTGACTGTAATAGAACTAATATCCTTATAAAAGAAACCCTATACCTATCTCGATTACAATTTATAAACGAAACAAAAAACTCTCTCACATGCACAGGACAATCCCTCTTCCTTTCTCTTCTCACACGGCCGGCAAAGTAAGCGGCTAGATTTATCATGTCAAGCAAGATGAGACCTTCAAGGGACTGCGAGGAATCGATGAGCTAGCTAGGCGAATGGTGGAGACAGGAAAGGATACTACTTGGCCATTGGTGTACTTTCAGAGTATGGAAAGTCGTCGTGGCTCATTGTAAGAAATGAGAACTTCTATAATTTATGAATTATTTTTAATTTTTAATTTTATTATATTGAACCACCTCTCTAAGAATCCTGGGTCCGCCACTGCGGCCCCCTCCATTATGCACAGCTCCGCCACTGCGGTCTTGCAAGATCGCAACTTAGGTACTTTCACCTCAGAGTCAGCCTACAAATGGTTAATAGCAAGGACATCTCCTTCACAAAATAATCAAGAAGACGGTTGGTTGTGGATTCAGAGATTAGCACCTCAGAGTCAGCCTACAAATGGTTAATAGCAAGGACATCTCCTCCACAAAATAATCAAGAAGACGGTTGGTTGTGGATTCAGAGATTAGCAGGACCTCGCCGCATCTCTTTCTTCATGTAACTGTTATGTCATGGATCATGATGCGACAAATATATTGCATTTCTCAATTATCGTCACATCTCGATGTCCTCTTCATGCCCACGTTTCTCTGAACCTAAAGAAACATAAGTTCATGTCGTTGGAAACTGTCCATTAGCAAGGTACGTTGGATGAATCTTTTCCTAGCTCGTCTCTGTAGATCTTTTACGCTTGACACCAAAGAGTGATCATATGACTCATTATTATTGAATAAAAGAAGAATAGGTCCATGAGCTTTCTCTTAGATTTTTTACCATCTCTATCATATGACATATTTGGAAAGAAAGGAATGGTTACATGCATAACAAATCTAAATGGTCACGCTAATACTTTTGGAGGTTTTCATATAGTATTGCGCAGGAAAAATATTAATGCAACCACTACAACAAGTGACACTTCCAGATCTCAATATTTACTATATTCTTGGTCTAGACCTCCTGCAGGGTGAGTAGAATTATATGTCGATGGGAGTAGAAATTTCGATCCTACATTATCATTGACGAGGTTCTTCAAAATTCATAAAACCACAACTCCAACAACTATGTCAAAGTCCTTACATTTCTCAGTCAAATAGCCATAAGAGTAGTTTTGGGTCACTCACTAAACCTCCGCAGGAGTACAAGTAATTTAAACTCACTTGTTCCAAAAAGCCATAAAACATCAAACACTCTGGTTCTTTCTGAAAACATGTTGATTGTGTAATTAGTCATGGTAAAAAAAAAAAAAAAAACTCAGAGGTATTAACAATCCAATTCAACACAATCTTTTTTGTCGAAAAACTATACAAAGGGTAGATCGATCCCACTGAAGTCATGAAAGGGGAACTCTAACCCATATTATAATTAGTGAGTGAATACAAGTTGATGGATGCATTGCCACTATTAATTACCTTGAGACTTCAAAGGGAGTGACATCACGATGATGAAGGGTGTGGTAAGGTAAGTGAGTCTCCAAGAATATGATAAAAGTTGGTGCACTTAGCCAAAGTGGGTAAGTAAAGTGACACCCAGAAAAATGTCAACATTGAACAATGTTGGAAAGGAAACAAATTTTGGTCCTCTCTTTTAAACCCAATTATGGTCACGTGTAGTAGATTAGTCTCACTTCCCCTACTCCCTTTTCGTAGGATGATGATTGTTATGTGTAAATATGCAACCAAATCAAATATAGCTAGCTGTTAGATTGCATCATGTTGAGCTGTGGTGACTTCCACGCCATTTCACCATATCTCCATATCTCCATCCCTCCCGGCTATCTATAGCTTCCCGTAAGTATAATAACCAATGATAATCATTCTCAAAGCTTAAAAGATAATCCCACCAGACATACTTGCTTGTATCTCTTTACATCATGTGAATGCTCTCATGAGAAGTTATATCGGTTTGTCCGCGACCAGTCAAACAATGTGTTGAATGAAGTTATGTATATGTATTTTATTTGTCAGACGATAATGTTATTGAAATTATTTTCAGACATCTGTATGCAAGTTGAACATAAAAGCACTCGATTTTACGGAGATTGACATTGGGTGTGAAGAAATTTACCAGCAGTGACAACAGTTCGGAGATCAGAAATCAAGTCGACCAACTTATGACTCATATAATCATACACTTTATGGAAGCATTAGGATGACCGAAATATCTGGATAGCTAGATTCCTCTATTTTTCGGTTCTCGCGGCTTTGTATGCATTCGGACCCAGTTTTTGTGAATGATGAATGAATCTAGAAGCTACATTAGTATAAAGTATTAAGCGATGATACTCATGAATAATGACCATTGTGATCATACTTAGAAGATGTTGAATTTACTTATAAGGCAATCAATGTGGTAAAACTCAACAAATGGTTGTAATACCATGAGACAAAAGGAGGGAGTGAAAAGAGAAGATAAACCAACAATGAAAGCTACACATCACCTTGTGAAAAAACTTTAAACAAAACAAAGACCACTTAATTCCTTTTCCATCTTTTTGTTCCTTTCCTTCTTGCAACAAGTTCCCGCACTACCAAACCAAAGGGAGTTCCTTCAAAAAAATCCCTAGGCGTGACAACAAAAGCCTAAGTGGGGTGCATTATCATGAACCTCTTAATCCCTCCCTCCACAAATTTTGATCGTTAATAGAGTGATTATCTCCCTCCCTTAATCCCCATCACCTTTTCGTGCATCTTCCCAATCCTTCCAACAACAATCTAAAACTAACTTTTAATATTATGATTCACCCCACTAATTAACATTAAACCCCCCACTAATTTTTCCTCTCTGTTTGACTCCCTCCCCCCTCCACAAGAAAATATGCCCTTTTCCCCCCACTTTTTTTAAACATTTTTAATTAATTAATTATCTACCCAACAACCCATAATCACCATTCACTCCCACTACTTCCGGCGGCCGGCGGTGAACGTTTGAAACACGACGGTCCCGGCAGCCGGGAACTCGTCCACGGCAAAACTCCGGCGCTTCATCCCTTCCATAGCTCGGCCCAACCGGGCCCAAACCTCGCGGCCCGCTCCAGTAGTGGACACGGACACAACCCCAGGCCCAAAAACCCGGACCACCTTCTTCAACACCTCCACGAGGTCGTCCACGTCATCATCAAAGGCGGACCCCACGCACTCGAAGCTGGCGTAGCTGTACCCGTCCTCGGGGGTGACGTGGATGGTCGAGTACCGCTCCTGGTCGATCCCGTTCATCGAGTAGCCGCACGGGTCGAACCCGAAATCGCAGATGATCGAACCGGGGTTGATCTCGCTGATCCCGGTCAGCTTCGTCATTTCCTTCCCCGCTACGTCGCCGTTTCGGCCTTTCCCCGGGGGCTGGAAGAAGTTGCGGGCCTGGGCCCGGTCCAGCTCCGTCATGCAGACTTCCACCGTGTAGAAGGGCTCGAGCCCAGGCCCAATGAGGTGGGGGGCCTGGTCGGTGGTCGCGGTGAACACGTGCCAGGAGTGGGAGGTGAGGTTGGAGGGCATGACGGCGGCCTTCCGGCGGCGGAGCGACGGCGGGAGGTGGCGGTTGATGTAGTCGACCTCGTCGGCGAAGCTGGTGTGCGGGGAGGGCTGGGATTCAGGGAAGATGAAGCTGCCGCGGGTGTACCTGAGGGCGCAGAGGGAGAGATCCTGATCGTGCGATGAGGTGGCGAGCTGGATCAACGGACGGATGGATTTCAACAGCTGGGTGGTCCCACAGGTCTTGATGATGATTTTGGTCGGGTAGACGAAGAGGCTGGATTCGGACAAAACGTAGGCGTCGAAGTAACGGTTCCCCACGGCCGAAACGACGGTGCATTGGACCGCGTTTAGGACTTGGACCAGTGAATCGAAGTCCAGAATTTGACGGAGGCCCAATGGCGACGAGTATCGATTTGTGGTTGCTAAAGGGTCGTCGCCATAGAAGCGAAGCTCCAGGCGCTTCTCGAAGCCTTCGAATCCGGTGGCAGCCATTGATTAGAGATTCGATCTCGAGATGGGTATTTGGGGGATTGGAGGAGGAAGGGGAAAAGATTGGAACTTTGAGGCGGGGAGAAGAAATGGGGAGGGAGAGTGGGAATTTATAGTGGTGGGGGAAGGAAAGGAAGGTGGAGAGAAGAGAGATTTGTGGAGGGAAGGTTGTGGGTAGTGGAGGGAGGAGTTAGGCAAGGGAGAGGGCATGCGGGTGAGGGAACCAAGAATCATGATTGCAGGCATAATGAAGTGAAAGTAGGATGATGATTTCTCTCTTATATACTCATGTCTGTTTGCTCTGTTTCTTTTGCTTTTCTTTTCGATCTTGGAGTGTAAGTTTGGAACAGTGAAATCAAATCTTTGATCAGACAGGAACAGAGGGGGAAACGGATTTTATGCCCACGCGCATACCTTCCATTTTCTTTTGTCTATGCCGTCCCCCCAATTTGTGGTTTCTGGTCACTACTTCACAAGAGTACTCTGTTTGGCTCGCTTGCTCTGTTTTTTTCCCCTGCCATCTTGATTCTTGAAGGGAAGGCAAACATTATTGGTATGCAATCTCATATTTCGATGAATCCTCTTGGTATATAGAACTTGAACTTTCTAATCGACCTAGAAAACCCATTACTGGCAAATACAGAAATTGAACTTTCCACCAGTTTGGGGATCACATTACAAGCTCCGACAAAAATTCCTTACTTGGGCATTCTTTGTCCAGTCTAATCCAGTGAATAATTAGGTCTGCATATGGATGTTCCCCCTCATTCCTCTTGCTGATCACGTGTTGGAACTAACCATTGATTGTTTCCATCAAAGAAAGGGGAGGGCCAGAGAGTTTCAATTGGCTGTGAATCGAGCGAGGTCGACATTCGAGATAGCGAATGAAGAATGGCAAGTTGGCAGGTCGTGAAGCGACAAGCTTCTCCATTACAACAGTAGAGTGTGGGGGAATGGTGGTAGTAGTGGTAATCATATAGTCTCTCGATCGTCTCCAAGGCTTTTCCTTTTTGCTTTCGATGTGTATAAGCCTATAAGGGTAACTAATTAGTTCTTCCCCGTCAATGAGAGAGGGACTTTGCCGTTTATGGGTTACTTTCACTGCCAATCCCCGCAATGGGGCATTTACAAAATTGTGGAAACACAATTACAACCCAACAACAAGATAGAACCCTTATAATATTGCTTCTACTAGCAAAATTTGTTTTGAGATGTTGAAGAAAAGACACTTCTATACGTGTTATTTGTTCATTAGGTGGTGAGGTTGTGTCATCATGCATCGATGGTCTTGAATTTGGGCTATGTTGGTGGAGTTTAATTCGATAGATCATATGCCTTATTATTACCCACCAAAAACATTAGGGTTTTGGCCACAAAAAGTGTAGATTGGTATCTATACCAAGCAATCTTATCACAGTTTAGCACTCATATATGTTGGAGTTGGAGTACGATTTAGCATGAATCGGGCTAACCTATCGTAATCAGCATGATGTAAAACTAATGTAATAGGATTACCAAAATACATGAACAAGACGAGTTAAAAGAAAAGAGTAGTTAAAGCGAGTGATCACTCAAGATAGGAGATTCAAGTGGTTCAGCATGTATTCCTAAGGTTTTTTTTCCTTTTGAAATGAAGTAGTATATCATTTATTCAATCCAAGGAGTATAGAGTCAGGGGATAACAAACAAACAAAGATAATATCGAGAATATGGATCCAATTCAAAAAGAGGAAGCGCTTTATAGCTGAATATTGCAATCCAATCTGCCTTCTTGTTTGATCGTCCGGGGATGAATGAAATTCAAATATGATAAGGTTACCCTGATGGAATGATCATGGATGAGAGGGTAGCATAATGTTAGAAACCCACTTTTTGGGTGATTTACACATAACATTGCTATACACATCTTTCTATTTAACCAAACTGAGGCAATCTGAGCACATTTAATTAAGAGATAACTCTATCCACATGAGCAACAGTACGCATAGATTTGTCCAAATGTGTAGGTGCTGTCAAGAACCAGTTGCTCCCAATAACTCGAGTTGCTGGGAGAGGTTCAATCGTGGATCATATACCACAACACTAACACGCCCCCTCAAACGAAAGCCACTCACAAGGGCTTGAAGTTTGCACAGGTCTGAAGACAAGAATACCATGTGCTTAACAAATGGGGGTCACCGGGAATCGAACACAAGACTTCTCGGTCACAGAAGGCTCTGATACCATGTCAAGAACCAGTTGCTCCCAATAACTCGAATTGTTGGGAGAGGTTCAATCGTGGATCATATACCACAACACTAACAGGCGCACCAAACCTCACTTGATTTACATGTAAAAAAACAGAGTTTCATCTTCTATATTATCATCCAAACTTGTCAAGAATCTAAGTTGTTGCATCTTCTATATTATCATCCAAACTTGTCAAGAATCTAAGTTGTTGTGAGAGATTAAAAATAGATTTTAAATCATTCCCATTGCATGTCTAGTCAAAGAAAAGTAAAAAAGCATGGCTTGAAAATTTGTGCAAGGCCATCGCCTACTTAAATTACTAATGAGCATTGAGAATTATAAAAAATTGAATACAAAACCTCTCAATAAAAAAGTTAGAATACCATATAAAAAAATCTATTGATTTCGGAAATTGTGAAAATGTTCAACAAAACTTATCACTCAAAGCTAGAATACCACGTTGATAATTCCAATTACTTGAATTCTTGAAAAAGTTCAACAAAATCTTTTACCTTACAAAATCGATCTTAACTCCTTTGTCCCGATTCTTCCCAAATCTCTTGGGTTCATCGAGCTCAGAAAATATTCCTATTGAAAAGGGAGAATTCAGGCGTGGCATTGTAAAAATCTAGATAATAAATAAAAGCCGAATGATGAAAACTGTTGCTCCATTTCAAATTTCCTGCAACGAGAGTGATTATAGGAAGGACATTTTGGTCTTCACAATTGCTTATTTTCTTATTTATTTATTCATAAAAAAGGCATTCACTGGGATTTGAACCTTGGTCTCTTTAAATGCAAGCAAGGATCATAACCAATTACACTAAGTATATTTATTGTATCTATTTAAATTCAAACATACACGAACCTAAATTATGAAAATCATATGACTTTTTTAACGATTAGTTGGCCACTGAATCTCCCGTAAGTACTTATTTGGTGTTCTAATACTTTGATTATTTTAATTGTAGTTTAATACTTAATTTAAATTTCTATCTATTTTATAAATATACAATAACCCTAACATTGCAGCCCAAATATCACTGGTTCGAATATTGCATATCGAATTGCAATATTAAACATGTAGAAGCAATATCGACTTCTTAAATTAATATTATTTTTCAGAATTACTATGGAGAAATTATATCTTTGTGCAAACTATATGAGACTGGTTCTTTTAATGTTTTAGTCGGGATAACCGCTACATTTTAAACTTCTTCATAATTTGGCATGATTGGATCCAATGATCATTATACAAGATTGTGTTTAATAGGGTGGCTCATTCCACCACTTTTTGGCGTGTTAATGAATTTGTAGGACAATGACAGGTCTACATCTACACTCATCACAATCTACACATCATATAAATGTGAAATGTGAAATGAGAAAAGAGGGATTCCATTTCAAATTTGATGCGTACAGAGCAATTTTTTAGGGGTAAATTTAGAAGATGCCAGTGCGGTCGGTCTGTTGAGCACGAAAGTAAAAATATGTTTTCATTTAAACGGGCCCAAACTGTTATTTGGCCCACTAATCGTGCACCCATCGCCAATGCAGTCAAATTCGAGATTTCGATCGTAAAATCGTAGGATTTTAGGATTTTACTTAGGGATTCCGATCTTGATTTTACTATAAAATCGGTGGACCTTAAAATCGTTTAAAATCGGGACTAAAATCGTTAAAATCGTAAAATAGTACCGAAATCGGGATTTTGATCGTAAGAGAACAAAATAGGTGGTTTGAGCCAATTTAAAATAAGTATAACTGTTTCAGCGGAAAGGGCAATAGAATCTTCTCAGATATTTTTCTATTAGAAAAATATTCAAAAATAATAAAAATAACCAAATTAGGGTTCGGTTAATCTCTTTCCCTTCACCCCATTTAACTTATTGGTAAAACACCTGTCCTAATATTGGAAGTATGTAAGAACTAACATCATTATTAACTAATTAATTTATTAATGAATATATTTGTACCAAGCCACTAACATTACTTATTTTATTGGAGTTCAATTATTTTTAGTTTTAAATCATACTTAGTAGACGATGTCGAAATATTACTTTGAGTTAAACAACCTAGACATAACATGAAAATAAGAGCCAAACCCATGAACTATATCCCTTCATCATGAATTATTTTGAGTTACACATTAAATAACAATTAAAATAGTGATTTTGGAACATTAATCTTGAGAATTATCTTATGAAAAAAAATCTTCTGAATTATCATTTTAAATGCTATGTGTCTTTGTGATATTAATAATTTACCTTATTAATATTCTTATATGCTATGTTCTATATGGTACTTAAAATCCTACGATTTTACGATTCGATTATACGATTTTGATTTTACCCCAGTTTTCGATTTTAGGTAAAATCTCGATTTTAACTGCTTTGCCCATCGCAGCCTCTCCAAATCTTCCTATTCTACTCGCCGGGTCATCTCCTCCACTACAAAATATCTCCTCATGTACTCAAAGTTCTCACTGAAACCTAATATCTACAACTTAGGCGCAGAGGGAGCAACCGATGGATTGTAGCGACCCCCACTATTTTGATAGCTAATCAAGAAGAGCGCGTTTGTTTAGTTGTATGGTGATTCACTTAATTAACAATTTTTATTCCGTTGACAGCCTCCTCTCCGCAATTGTATTGTGTTCACGAAGATCTGAAGGCGCAAGTGCAACAGGTCCAGGGGTAAACAATATGTATAAAGCGTTGGCCAAATTGAATTGAGTCATTCTACTTGGAATATGAAGATTTTTGCTTAATTGC